AATGTCCAGACCTTCTCAGAAAAGTAGAGAAAGGCACTGAAAAGTCATACTGTTCCAAGCATTATGGCCATCTCTGGTCCCACAATTTCATACAAATAGTAAGGAGATAGTTTTTCTTGAGGTTAACCAGAAAGGAGAGTTCTGATTATGTATTTATAGTGGACAAAATGCATCAGGGATATGGTCTTTCCAGGAGCAGATAATTGAGAGAGATGGGTTCAATTAACTGGGTTCAATTAGGCTATAATATATGTAGTGGACACAAAAGTGCCCAGGAAGTGTGTCTCTGATTGCTTTCAGTTATGCCCCTCTTTAGTCCATTCTCCACACTGCTGACAGAGTCATGTTACTTTTTTTTTTTTTAACATTGTATTGATTTTTAGATAGAGAAGAAGGGAGAGCGAGAAACAACGATGTGAGAGCTAAATATGGATAGGCTGCCTCCTACCAGCAATTGAACCACAACCTGGGCATCTGCCCTGACTGGAAATCGTACCAGCAACCTTTCCATGGACAGGATAATGCCCAACCAACTGAGCCTCGCCAGCCAGGGCCAGAGTCATGCCTCAAAAAGGTTAATAATGTCATGTCCCCTCCTTGATGATTTTTCATCAATTTCAAGATATAAACATACATACTGCTTGGCACTCCAGGAGTTTAGAAAACAGCGCCTTTCATCTCCACACTATTTCTTTAGCCCACTCTCTTGGACCTCATGTTAATTAGTCTAAAACTCCTTAACCTCTAGTCCTAGCCGGTTTTCTCAGATATTACCACTAGAGCAAATGGAATAAAGGGTACACAGGATCCATCTGTATTATTTCTTATAACTACACTAGGAGCCCAGAGCGCAATTCAAAATCACACAGACCTGCCCACCCTCCCTCACTGGTCCGGCCCTGCCTTCCTCTCCAGCCCTGAAGCGACCGTGGCCGCTGCTGATCAGGCCCTCCCCCAGCACATGCCCTGCCCCCAGCACTGCACGCACAACCTCCTCCTCTCTGGTCAACCCCCTACGGCATCCCGGTTAATTAGCACATTTCTCTGTTACATATATATATAGACGAGAATCTACCATTATCTCAAAATAAAAATTTTAACTACCAAACTATATAATTTAAAAGAGAGTTTCCTGGCCGTCATGGGGTTGGGCATCAACCTATAAACCCGGGGGTCACAATCAAGGGCACATGCCCGGGTTGCAAGCTCAATCCCCAATGTGGGGCATGCAGGAGGTAGCCAGTCAATGATTCTCTCTCATCACTCATGTTTCTCTCTCTCTCCCTTCCTTCTGAAATCATTTTTTTAAAAAAATTTTAAAAGAGAGTTGACGCTCCCATGAAAACATCATAGGCTTTTAGACTCAGTGAACTTACTAAAAAACAATGCTGTCAAATTATTGTCCAAGACAACAGGAAAAAAGCATCTGATTCTGCTCTCAGATTTCCTTGCAAGTGTTTTAAAATAGTTTTCCCTAAACTATAACTTATGTTTAGCTTATTTTTGGCCCATTGATTATGAATTCCCTTTTCTCTCTTTTTTTTTAAATCAATCTTTATTGTTCATATTATTACAAAGGTTCCTCATTTCTTCCCCCCTCCACCAGGTTCCCACCCCACCCTCCGCCTCCTTTCCATCCCCCATTGTCCTCATCCATAGGTGCACAGTTTATGTTCAGTCTCTTCCTCCCTCCCTTCCCCCGATAGTAAATCCCTTTTCAGATAGTAAATCAGTTACTTAGCATTTTCTCATATCAATAATACTTCCACATGCCCAATGATACACTTCACACAAAAGACATTTCCAAATAGGTCAACCAGCCTCATCCAGGCCCCACCCAAGGCACTCACAGATCAACACGCCAGCCCTATACTAACTCAACACATCCAGATCTAAGCCTTCATCACTTGATTCAGCAGACACTCAAGTTCCCACAAAAGTTTCCAGCCATGTCTGAGAGGCGGCCGTGGGGCAGGGGCAGGTGAGGAGCAAGCTGTTCTGGGCCTGGCTGCTCCGGGCCTGGCCTCTGTTGCTCTGGTTCATTCCACAACCAGCTGCTCCGGGTCTGGTCACTGCTGCTCCCGACCTAGCTGCTCTGGACGTGGCTGCTGTTGCTCCGGGCCTGGCCGCTCCCAGCCTGGCAGCTGCTGCTCCGGTAATTCCCTTTTCTCTTATTTCTTTGCATAACATGAAAGATGTCTATATGTATGATATCCTTACCTTGTTTACTGTAAGATAGAATTTGAGCCAGCTATGTTGTCTTGTATTACCATGGTTTGCATATGCCTTACCTTTCTGTGCCTGTTTCCTCATCTACTTCCAAGACCGATTCTGAAGATTAAATGGGATAAGCACATTGTTCATGGTACAATACAATATAATCAATGTATTCTAGTTAAAAGAAACCTTACTCGGCTTTGATGGAAGTGGCATAGTGAGACAGTCTCACACTATGCCTGGCGCATAATAAGCAATCAATAAGTACTGGTTGGATGAATAAGTGCAAGCATGTGAGAGAAATAAGGAGTCTAACACAGGATATCTACAGTGGAAATAAAGACAGACATCATACCTTTCACAGGTTGAGTAAATAGTAATTTGTGACTGACTAGGTATGCAAAGTAACAAAGGGAAGTCAAGATGGGTGCTGAAGTTTCAAGCTTTGATGGCCCATGGAAATCATTAGCCAGAGAAAATGGAAGTAGTATTATATTTTGAAGGGACAATGAATTTATCTGTGGAAATGTTGAACTAGAATTATTTGTGGTTCATGCAATTATCGATTTCCAGTGACCACTGAACAGCCACATCTGGCCCTCACAAAAGAGCTGGGTTGAGAAGGCAGGAAGCTCTGGCAGAGGGAGAAGGAAGAAAGGGCTGGAGTTAGAAAACCGTGAGTCACTTGTGCACACAGGTTAAGTGACACCACAGAAGTGGTGCCATTACCCGAGAAATACAGCACACAGTGAGAAGAACTGGCATGATTACAGCTCCACATGACAGAACGTGATTTTTTACTGCAAGCACTGCCACGGTGGCTTTTTGAGAGTTAACATTTTAGTCATCTCAATGGAACAGCACAGCTGGCCTCCCCATCAGTGGGCAGCAGCTGGTCTCTGTCCTGAGGCTTGAATCTAGTCCACATGGTAAAGGGAAAATGGGAGCAAATGCACAAAAATCCCTCCCTTTAGTTCAACAGTATGTCCTTTAGATCATGCTAAACTGTAAGCGAATGTCAAAAGGTTTGTGATTAGATACTTCTACTCAGAAAGCATCTATACTGGCAGAATTCTACCTCATAGCACCTGAAATATACGCAAGAGTGTAGACAGGTATCTTATGAGTGTAAGATCTTTAGTGTTTTGTTAGAAGTCAACAGTTTTCTCCTTTAAGACGTCACATGTAACCAAAAGCTCTGATTAAAATTTATGAATAGAATGAGATGGACCTCACAATTAAAGAAGGATTTTAAAGGAAACAAACAAACCAGTGCTAGGAAAGCTAAAATAATAGAGGGTTGGGAAGTTTCTGAACAGTAACTTCCTCACCAAGGGACTAAAATGTAGTGGTTGTGGGCAGGATAGAAGCTAAAAATAGGAGCATTAACTAGAACTAAAAAAGAAATACCTACTTTCCAATTAGTGTGTTTTGTCCCTTTCCATATGTTGTCTCCTCGTTTCCTCAGGCTTTCCACATTTCCCATTAGAAAGGGAGTCATCCTATCTCAACTTCAGGATCTATACTTTATGACAGACTCAGACCCCAGCCATAAGCTAACCTACCAGTTGGAGCATCTTCCCCCTGGTGGTCAGTGTGCATCATAGCTACTGGTCAAATGGTCACTTAGGCTTATATATATATAGACAATGCACAAAAGTCTATATACAATATATATATATAGACTGTGCACAAAGGCCCAGTGCACAAAATTCGGGCACTCGGGGGGTCCCTCAGCCCAGCCTGCACCCTCTCACAGTCCAGGAGCCTTTGGGCAGAGCAGGCCTAATCTGGAAGTCAGACATCCTTAGTGCTGCCACAGAGACAGGAGAGGGTCCTGCCACCACTGCTATACTTGCCAGCCATGAGCCTGGCTTCTGGCTTAGCAGTGCTCCCCCTATGGGATTGGGCTGAAACTGGTTCTCTGACATCCCCCAAGAGGTCCTGGATTGCAAGAGGGTCCTGGATTGCAAGAGGGTGCAGGCCAGGCTGAGGGACCCCACTGGTGCAGAGTCAGGGTGGTGGAGAGATGTGGGAGGTTGGCCAACCAGGGAGGGACTGCAAGAGGGCTCCATGGCATGTCTGGCCTGTCTCTCTAAGTCCTGATTGGCCAGACCCTATCAGCAAGCTAACCTACTGGTCAAAGTGTCTGCTGTGAAAAGCCACACTCCGTGTGCTTTAGGGTTTAGGACCTGGAAAAGGGCCATGGGCAAATGACAAGACTAGACAAGAAATATGAATTTGGAAATCACCAGGCAGAGAGTCCAACTCTAGGTGAAGGACTTCACTGGTGCCCAGGCCCTGTCTACCTTTTATTCAATTTTAGATACACATATTGCCCTTAGTTAGGCAGGCAATTGTGGTAGCAGACAGACTATATTAAAGGTCAGTAAATATTAGTAAAGATTTATTTTGAGATTATTTGATCAAGAAATTGCTTGAGCCACCATTGTCTCGACTAAACAAGTGGTGTATAGCTTTGGCCCTTAACAGAGCTCAAGGTTCACCAGCATTCCAGGCTCCTTGTTTACACTTTTCTGATAGTGAGGACAATGGGTAGCTTCCTACATCTCCCCCTTTTCATTTCCTTAATAAATCTTGAAAAGTGAATGCTGCCTGAAGGGTTTGAGTCCTTTCAAGACCCTTCATTCCGCATCTGCAGACAAGAAATAAATATTTATGAGCTCATAAATAACCTTATTCAAGAGTTACCAATGATAAAAACTAAAAATTAAACATTTTACCTCTCAACCAAATGTTTAATCAAATAAGAACACCGAGGGTGCATGTAACTTTTTTTTTTATTATTGAGGCACAACAAGGCATTATAACTTGCCTGAACTTGAGGCAGTCCGTTTAGTAAGCTGAACTTTAATACAGTTAAGGGTTAAGTGCAAACAAGATACATTCACAGCTTTGTCTAGCAAGGCTACATCACAATTTATAAAGTGCCAGATGAGTGCTAATTGTCATTCAGCTTGAAAGTTTCCACTTTGGGGAGGAAAACAAAAACAAGGGCCTCCCCCTTCCTCTAGGAATGAAAACAGTTCCCTACACCCATTAGCCACAAGGTCAAGGACTACCTCTCCTTTAATCCCCACTAATACAGAACACCCTTCTTTCGTTGTCAACTGTGCAAGGACTTTCTCAATCTTGATAGAGAAGGTAGCCGGAAAACGTAGAGTATTTCCAGCTACTTCCATAAATGGCTCCCCGGTGCAAACGCAGCCATATCTGGTCTCCCTGGAAGAGCTGGAGAATGGCGTGGTTGCTGGCCGTCTCGTGGTCCGGGGCGCCGTCGTTGGCGTAGGCGGACACCAGGACCTCCTCGTTCTTCATGAGGTTCACGTACAGGGGCACGTTCACGGCCAGCTTCAGCATGTGGAAGATGAACACGTACGTGCCGTTCACCGGGCAGGTGAACCTGCCCAGCTGGAGATCGAACGTCTCCCCCAGGTTGTTCAGAAGGAGATCGAACACGATCGGCTGGTCTAAGGTCCCCGGGGCGAGGTTGGAGGTCCTGGCCGCGGAGAAGGCCACGCGCATCTGCTGCGGCAGCGGGTAGACGTGCACCGGCAGGATGGTGGCCGCGGGGCTGGGCGCGGGCACGGGCACGGGCACGGGCACCTCCACGGGGGTCAGGCTGCGCGAGTCCCCTTGTCCAGAGTCGCCGCTGTGAAAGGTCTCGCTGTCTCTCTCTGGGCTGCTCATCTGAGAGGAATCGCTCCACCCTGCTGTTGGATGAGCGACAGTGAGTTTTCTCATAAGGAAGCAGTTTAGCTTTGAACGCAATGGTTAACATTAGTCGGCTACTGAAACACAGAGATGGACACATTTTATAGTAAACTCCAAAACCATAAGAGCAATGAAGGATAGCTACAGTATGCTTTTCAAGGTTTTTCCTGTACTAGGCTTTTATACCACTGAGATTTTAAAAATAATAATAATAAGGCTCCCAAAAGCTTGGGTAATTTACCTAGTTAAGATTATTAGCAGCTGCTGAAACCGGTTTGGCTCAATGGATAGAGCATCGGCCTGCGAACTGAAGGGTCCCAGGTTCGATTCCAGTCAAGGGCATGTACCTTGGTTGCAGGCACATCCCCAGTGAGGGGTGCGCAAGAGGCAGCTAATGGATGATTCTCTCTCATTGATGTTTCTAACTCTCTATCCCTCTCTCCTCCTCTCTGTAAAAATTGAATAAAATATATTTTTTTTTAAAAAAAGACTATTAGCAAAGTTTAAAACCTAGGTTTGAACATTCTCTTTGCTTCTTTATCTTTCATAATTCTCACTGTTCTAAATTCCTCAGGGATAAACCTACTCAAAGTTCCTGAGATAGAAACACTCAAGAAAACTGAGATTGCAGAAGAGAACCAATTTTTAGAACCACCCAGGGGTCGGCAACCTTTAAGACATAAAGAGCCACTTGGACCTGTTTTCAAAGGGAAAAAAAACCTGGGAGGCGCAAAACCATTGCGACATTTAAAACAAATATAACACTGCATATATTGTTTCTTACCTTAATGCTATATACCGGATCGTGCAGAAAAAGGATTTTTTCACTTAACAAAAAGAGCCGCATGCGGCTCCGGAGCCGCAGGTTGCCGACACCTGCTGACTAGCCATTGGAGGATAGTTTGGTATGGTACCATGATGAATGCTTATTCTTTATTTGCAAGTTAATGTGGTATTGTGAAATGTTTTAAACACTGCTCACGTGAAAGGCAAAGGCAATGCAAATACTGGCTACTTTCTTTACAAAACAAAAAAACTGTTTTCCTGTGACAAAGCCAGTTAATCTTTAGTAACTCTTGATTTTCTCAGTTACACTAAATCTTTAAATAATACTGTCCACATTTTTTTTAAAGTATCACAAATTTCCGCTTTTGTTTCAAGTCTTAATTGTGTGTCTTAATTTTAGGTTGCTTATCTTCTATCTTTACTCCTATCTATCAATGCAGTGGAACTAGAGTATTTGCAAGTGCCCATTATTTCAAGAACCATCTTCCTGAATCATTCCATGAAACAATTTGAAGTCGGCAGTGTGAATACACAGGATGGGGCATAAGTCAAGTTTACAGTTGTTTGTATGGAAAATGATATGGTAAAATACCAGGAAAAAATCTGTGTTTCGCATACTCACAACTGTAAACCTGCTTTTGCTCCACCCTGAATATCTAAGGTTAAATTATGCTCTGGTCTCAAGAAAACTGAAACACACACACGCTTACACTTTTAATTAAATTGAAAACTGATTTCCACAGCCTTTCTTAATAGTCTAATATCTCTCTCAGATCTCCAGTACCACGACATAAGCAAACTGAAAACCACGAGATTAATGCTGAGAACAGTGTATTTGGGGAGAACATGATGGATGATGAGGTAGTTAGGGCAAATAAACTACTCAGTTCATTATCCTTACCTCTTGAATTTGCCCGAGGACCACCAGATGTCCCTCCACGCTTGTAACACTGCTGGAAATTTTCCTAAAATGGCATCAAAAATGTAAGACAATGATTAGTTATTACCCAGGATGACTGGCTGGTCATTCTCTAAGATTAAAGTCCTCTTAGCCCTTTATCTGGCCTTCTCCAGCAACCGAAGAGGCTCAGATGTCTCCAAACACACAAAAATAAATTAATTAATAAATAAAAATGGCAACAGAAGAAATACTTGCTTCATCTGTTAATGAACCTGATCAATTGGATAAGTTATTACTTTTAAAATATATATATTTATTTGAGGGGAGGAGGGAGGAAAGAGAGAAGCATCGATTTATTGTTTCTCTTACTTATGTATGCATTCACTGGTTGATTCTTATATGTGCCCCGATCAGAGATCAAACCCACAACCTTGGCATATTGGGATAACACTCTAACCAACTGAGCTACCCAGTCAGGACCTACAGTGAGTGGCCAGATTATTATGATCTCTGAACGCATAATAATCTGGCCGAGAGAGAGAGAGAGAGAGAGAGAGAGAGAGAGAGAGAGAGAGAGAGAGAGAGAGAGTGTGTTAGAGGCCCAGTGCATGAATTCGTGCATAGTGCATGAATTCGTGCATGCGGGGGGGCCAGCCAGCATGGTCAGGGGGAAGGGACATGGGCAGTTGGCCAGCCTGCCTGCTGGTTGAACTCCTGGTGGAGGAAACAATTTGCATATTAGCCTTTTATTATACAGGATATACACTGAGTGGCCATATTATTATGCATTCAGAGATCATAATAATCTGGCAACTCAATGTATTGTAGATAGGTTAATACTTGCAAAAACTATAAAACATATAGCCGAAACCGGTTTGGCTCAGTGGTAGGGCGTCGGTCTGCGGACTGAAGGGTCCCGGGTTCGATTCCTGTCAAGGGCATGTACCTTGATTGCGGGCATATCCCGGTAGGGGGTGTGCAAGAGGCAGCTGGTCAATGTTTCTCTCTCATCGACGTTTCTAGCTCTCTATCTCTCTCTCTTCCTCTCTGTAAAAAATCAATAAAATATATATATTTAAAAACAAAAAAACTATAAAGCATCTAGAGAATGCTATTTAAAAGGTACAAGGTGGGAAAATTTTAAAAATATGGCATGGTCTGCCCTGGCTGGTGTGGCTCAGTTGGTTGGGCATTGTCCTGTACACCAAAAGGTTACTGGTTGAAGCCCTGGTCAGGGCACATGCCCAGGTGGCAGGCTCCATCCCTGGCTGGGAGCAATGCAGGGGTATCCAATTGATGCTTTGTTCTCACATCAATGTTTTTCTTTCTCTCTCTCTCCCTTCCTCTCTAAAAAAAACCTTTATTTAAAAAAATATATGGCACAATCCTCTCTCATCTGAAGAAGAAGAAGAAGAAGAAGAAGAAGAAGAAGAAGAAGAAATAACACAGATATTTAAATCTTGCTCTATTTATAAACCAAACTGTAAAGGTATTTACAAGGTATGTTAGGGCTTTGTTTTGTCTTGACAGGCGATTAATACGAATTATATTGTATAAGTGTATTAGTCCCTGGAAATGTAATCTATTATCTTCAAGAAAAAAATGTTCAAGAGGCAACATTTCAAACTACCTCCCAAGTATGATAAAAGTCTGCATCCATACAACCCATAAAAAGAATACTTATGCTCTACCCAGTTTAGCTCTGTGGCTGAGCATCCTATGAACTAAGAGATCATTGTTCGATTCCCAGTCAGGACACATGCCCAGGTTGCGGGCTCAATCCCAGCCAATCAATGATTCTCTCTCATCATTGATATTTCTATCTCTCTATATATTTCTCTCTCTCCCTTCCTCTCAGAAATCATTTTTTTTTAAGATTTTGCTATATTTGATATCTAGAAAAGTTAAATTTAAGGCCATGTAGTAAAGTTAAAATCATGGGCTTCAGAGCTAAGAAATTTGCATAACTAAGGTTCTACTGTTTACTTGCTGAGTGACCTTAGATGAGTTATTTAACTTGTTTCTGAATTTCCGTTTCTCTTATAGGGTGGAAGAGTAAATGAGTTAATACAAACAACATGATTAATACAATCCTTCAAACGTTCTAAGTTGACATTTATGGGTTATTAGGAAAGCTTCCAACTTAACTCTTCACAGAACTTACAAGTTAAAACTAAGAGTGCCTTATACAAGTGTGTGTGTGTGTGTGTGTGTGTGTGTGTGTATATATATATATATATATATATATATATGACTGCACTATAATTTAATCACCAGCTTAGCATCAACAACTGTACTACTATTCAACTATGACAACTATTCTTACCCTTTGGGAATAAGGTGTTCCAGGATACTCTCTAGCTTGGAATTGTAGCTGGCTATAATTTCCATTGGAAACTGAAGGAGGTCCTCTATAAGTATCAAAACCTAGTAAATAAACAACTTGCATAAAATTATGAGCAAAACTTACACTAAACTTTTAAGTAGTCTAACTGTATACCATTTTAAAAGTAAAGCTGATCCTATAATGCCAACATTCAATTTATGCCTTCGTTAAGCAAGCTCTATTAATATTGCTTTCCACAATAAGACACACATTTATAAAACATTGCTGACTTCTAATAAGCCAACTGCAGACATTTACTATTGCTAGAATGCGGGGGGAGGGGTGGGGGAGGAAATAGTGGTAAGATAAGTAGGTAGTTAAAGCTTCTGTGTAGAGTACTTTGCTAATACCAACCATGACTGGAATACTTGGAACTACATTTACAACTAAAAAGAATATCACTTTTACAGTCCCAAAGTTTATGTTTTATCTGTGGCATACTCTGATACACAAATCACTAGAAAAATCAAATTAATTAACAAAAGAAAAAAATTTTCAAGTATAAAAATCAAAATTCATTCCTGGGGAGGAAAAATATGCTCAACCTGTACATAACAGGATGAATCTGCCTTTCATACAAAAAGTTCTCTGTTACAGAGACTAGGGATGTTAAATACCGTATTTTGCAGAAATAGGAACTTATTTACTAGCACCACATTATAAATAACAACTACAAAAAGAAACAGGTAAAATAAAAAATAGTTTGAGTCAAGTAAAAACATAAGACAAAATAATTCAGCATAATTCAATGTTATCCAGAGTATACCTTTATAACCTCCTGGGGACCGATACGTATTGGTTAGTAATCTCCCACTGCGAGTGCATCCTCTAACAGATCCCCGGCTGTTGACGAACGGTTGGGAGGGCCTGGGAAACACATTCGTCTGTGCTGGGTAAAAGGCAAGGCTACCATTGCTTACTTGAATAGTTCCATCAGGATAACTTGCTGCTTAAAGAAACAGTTTTAAAGTCCAAGAGTTAAACTGTAATAAGGATTCAATATTCTTTATACTAAAAAGTCACTATATATCAAAACCTTTAATACAATGTTCTCCCTTTAAAAAAAAAAAAAAACGCAGGTGAATCCCGGTGCCCCCTCCAAAAAAATAAAAAGAAATAAATAAATAATGCAGTGGCTATGTGTGAGTAAAATCTCTCTATATATACAGGATGAGGCAAAGGCAGGTGTACAGTTGTTCATATGGAAAATATAATAATAAATAATAATACAAGAATAAACTCTGTGTTTCATGTACTCACAACTGTAAACCTACTTTTGCCCCACTATATATATATATATATATTATATATATTATATATATATATATATACATTTATATATTTATATATAAATATATTTATATTTTTATATTTTTATATTTGTTTATTTTTATATATTTATATATATGTATATATAAAGCTAAGCAACCATCCGACCATCCAACTGGTAGCTGTGATGTGCAATGACCATCAGGGGGCAGACACTCCAATCAGTAGCTATGACGTGCAGCTGAGCTGCAGTGACTTGGCAGTGGTGGTTCTTGGGAGACACACCCTGGAACCAGAAAGGAGGGAGCTGTAGTCTGGGTACATTACCCAAGGACTGCACTCTCACAATCAGGGACCCCTACGAGGATGTCAGAGAGCCAGTTTTGGCCTGATCCTCGCAGGCCAGGCCAAGGGACCCCACTTGCCAGAGGGACCCTGCTCACTCTATAGATGCCCTTCATGCTGCAGCACAGCCCCAGGTGCAGCTGAATGGGAGGGACCAGGGAGAGACTGTGGGAGGTTGGCTCCAGGGCATGTCTGGCCCATCTAGCCCAGTCCCGCCTTTCCGGCCACCTTCTAATTAATTTCCTTTCAAAGTGCGCGAATCTGTGCACCAGGGCGCCAGTATTTAAGTAGAACAGTATTCAACCTTAGAAAGGAAGGAAATTCTGGCACATGCTACAACATGGAAGAACCTTGACATTATGCTGAGTGAAATAGGCCAATCACAAAAAAGAAAAGTACTGTGATAGCACTTACATAAGGTAAGTACCCAGAATAGTCAAATTCATACAACAGAATAGAATGGTGGTTACCAGCATTTGGAAGGAAAGGGGAATGATGAGTTAGTGTTAAATGAGTACAGAGTTTCAGAAAGTTCCAGATATGAAGGATGGTAACGGCTGCAAAACAATATTAATGTACTTAATGCCACAGAACTCAATACATAAAAATGGTTAAAATGATAAATGTTATGTTATATATGTATTTTACCACCATTAAGGGGGGGGGGGGGGGAAGCTAACTATTCCAGATATCAGGGAGTAAAAGAAAATGAATGTTTATCACCATTGTAACTGAGAAGGCATATGACAAAAATATCCTCTCAGTAAATTACCTGCCCTGTGTTTTCACAGTACAGGTGAGAACAGAATGAGGTCATTTGTGGCTAGTCCATTACCTCTGTGACCAGGTCCAAAAAAACCACAGTTCATCTGCTCAGGTTTAAGTTTTAGAAGACTCAGTAGGGGTCTGAAATACCAACACTAAAAATTTATAAGTACTTCTTAAAATAGGAAATAACTACAAAGTTGCTTATTCGTTCATTATTTACAATAACATGAAAGATCAAAATTATCTCTCATCTCTAAGCAAACAGTAGAATAAGCATCCTAAGTCATATTGTCAGATTAACCAGTGCTTTTATTATAAGACAAAAGGATAGAGAAAGGGCCAAACAGCCATCTGTCTGGGCTAAAAGAGTTAATAGAATGGCTTCAAACCCTTCATCAAACTGGATAATGCCCTATCTACCTCAACTACTGTCTATGGCAATCAAAGCAATCAGATTTAAAAATATGAGCCTCTATATTCAACTAAGTCAACTATCTAATTTCCACTTCTACAAAAGTTAAAATGGTGAACAGAGGAAAAAGCATCAAATATTTGTCAACACTTGAACATGTAAAGACATAATGCTTACTACTCGGGAAAGAACCACTTAAGTATCACTACAGAGCTGCTTTCCAGTTAGCTGTCATCAAAGTCTTCAAATACTCATGCACCACGGTCTTACCAGTCTCTTGAGAAAGAACAGTTTGTTCCACGTGGATGGCTGGCAGTTGGCACTGGAATGGTGTCTGTGTACTTGCCGTAGTAAAACTTTGATTGTAGCCAGGTGAATAGGGGGGTTCTTTTATTTCTTGTTCTTTCCGTGGAGGCAGAGGTGCGTTAACATTAAATACCTTAAAAGACAAGGGGTAGGCTGAGTCATTTGTGAAGTTTCATTAAAAATAATTAAGGGTGGCATCCAGCAAAACACTGCAACATTCAAAAGCTTCTAATTAATGGCAAAGGACTTGAATAAACATTTCTCTAAAGAAAAGTCATGACCAATAAGCACAAAAAATGCTCAACATCATTAGTTATTAGGGAAATAGAAATCAAAATTACACTGAGACACTACTTCATTATACCCATTAGGATGGCTATTGTTTTTAAAAAATAGAAAATCCAAGTGTTAGCAAGGTTGTGGTCAAGTTTAAAATCCTTGTGTGTTGCTGAGACCAGTTTGGCTCAATGGATAGAGCGTCAGCTTGGGGACTGAAGGGTCCCGAGTTCGATTCCAGTCAAGGGCATGTACCTTGGTTGCGGGCACATCCCCAGTGGGGGTTGTGCAAGAGGCAGCTGATGACTCTCTCTCGACGTTTTTAACTCTCTACCTCTCTCCCTTCCTCTCTGTACAAAATCAATAAAATATATTTTAAAAAATTAAAATTAAAAAAAATAAAATAAAATAAAAATAAAATCCTTGTGTGTTGCTAATAGGAATGTAAAATGGGGCAGCCACTGTAGAAAGCAGTATGGTGGTCCTTCAAAAAGCTAAACATAGAATTATCATGTCATCCAATAATTCTACTTCTAGACATATACCCAAAAGAATGGAAAGCAGAGGTTCAAGTAGATATTTGTATACCAATGTTCATAGTACCGTTATTTATAACTAGAGGCCCAGGGCATGAATTCATGCACCAGTGGGATCCCTCGGCCTGCCTGCAGGATGGGGCTGAAACAAGCTCTCTGATATCCCCAAGGTGCCCCAGATTGTGAGAGGACACAGGCCAGGCTGAGGGACCCCATTCGTGCATGATTGGGGCCAGGAAGTGACATGGGAGGTTGGCTAGCTGGAGAGGGACCTCAGGAGGGCTCCAGGGTGTGTTCGGCCTCCAGTCCCGATCAGCCGGACCCCAGCAGCAAACTAACCTACTGGTCGGAGTGTCTGCCCCCTGGTGGTCAGTGCACATCATAGCAGCTGGTCAACCAGTTGACTGTCTGCCCCCTGGTGGTCAATGCATGCCATAGCGAGCCTTTGAGTGGCCTTAGCATATCATTAGCATATTATGCTTTGATTGGTTGAACGGACAACAAGACAACTGGACACTTAGCATATTAGGCTTTTATTATATAGGAAGGATAGCCAAAAGGTGGGAACAACCCGAGTGTCCATCAACAGATGAACTGGTAAACAAAATGTGGTATATACAAACAGTGGAATATTATTTAGCCATAAAAATGAATGAAATTCTGATCCATGCTATAACATGGATGAACCTTGAAAACATTATGCTAAGTGAAACAAACAAAATACAAAGGACAAATATTGGGATTCCACTTATATGAGGTGCCTACAATAGGTAAATTCATAGAGATAGAAAGTAGACTAGAGGTGACCAGGGGCTTGGAAGAGGGAGAAATAAAGCATTACTGAGTCTGTTTGGATGATGAAAAAATTCTAGAATTAGACAGTGATGATGGTTGTACAATATGATGGATGTACTTAATGCCATTAAAGTATATACTTAAAAATGGTTAAAACAGTAAATTTTATGTCATGCATATTTTACCATAGTAAAAACAAAAACTTCTATTTGATTGCTGACAGAATTTAAACCCAAGTACAAAAGTTAATCTTCCTGCTACTATGTAATACTCACCGAGAATGAAAGCTATATAGGGGAAAGTGCTACTCTTTCAAAAACTATAAAGATGGCTGAAATTGGTTTGGCTCAGTGGATAGAGTGTCAGCCTGCGGACTGAAAGGTCCCAGGTTTGATTCCAGTCAAGGGCATGTACCTTGGTTGTGGGCACATTCCCAGTAAGAAGTGTGCAGGAGGCAGCTGATTGATGTTTCTCTCTTATTGATGTTTCTAACTATCTCTCTCCCTTCCTCTCTGTAAAAAAAATCAATAAAATATATATATTTTTTAAAAACTAGACAGATGAATGAAAAAAAAATGCCATGTACTGAATTTCTATCATGTGGCAAGCCATGACCTATCCAGACTCTGATCACTGTCTTTAAAATAGCACTTCTATTACTTTCTAGCCTCCTTATCCTGCTCCATTTTTCCACACAACACATAGCACCTGATGCATTCTATATATTTTTTTTCTCTCCAGCGTCCACCTTCTGAAAAAAAACAAAACGAAGTGTTAAGATTCTTGACCACAAAGACCTGTCTCTTTTTCATTGTTATAACCCCAGAAACTGGCTCCATAAAATACCTGTTTTTTAATGAATGAGTGAATGAATGAACAAATAAATACCAATTTGTACCAGATAGAATTCAACAGGTGGAGAAAACAGATTGGCATGAGCAAAAAGGTATTGTGGCAAGAATGTACAAGGCAAGCACAGGGACTAGTCTGACATGTTATACCAGACTTCGGAAGTTACTGAGTGTCGGACAAAGGACTTTCCACTTCATTCTGTAATGAACCACTGTTTGCTTCTAATTAGGAATAGGAAAAAGTTTGTAAAACCAATGTGGCAATTCTATGCAAGATGGGCTGACAGGGAAAGAGGGAAAGCAAAGAAACTAAGCTGTTCTGGGTGGCCATACAGGAAGTAATTATATCAGTGAATTCAGGTCTCTCACCACTGTCACTCAAAGTACCTGGAATGGAACATTAAGCATTATCAGGATAGGTTCTTATTACCTAAGACTTTTTGTGTGTGTGTTTTTGTGGGTTTTTGTTTTTTTTCTAAAACTGTTTTATACTCCTCTATGTTTAAAGAACATAGAAACCTAGTTGTAATAGTACTATAAAAATTTTTAGAATACAATTTGTGATCCAAAATACCACACATATCTGAATAATTCTCTAAAAACTTACACATGGGATCAAAATTAAATCAAATGAAAGTTTCAACAATGAGAGAACAACCAGGTATGTGTCCTCTGTGTCTTGTTTTGATGCAATGGAATATCACTAGTGTGATATTAAAAATGGTTAGTATCGGCCTGGCCAGTGTAGCTCAGTGGCTGAGCATCCATCCATGAACAGGAGGTCATGGTTCAATTCCCAGTCAGGGCAATGACCAGAGTGTGGGTTCCATCCCTAGGAAAAGACATGCAAGAGACAGCCAATCAATGTTTCTTTCTCATCATTGATGTTTCTGTCTCTCTCTCCCTCTCCCTTCCTCCCTCTGAAATCAATAAAAACATTTTAAATAAAAATAAAAATATATTTTTAAAAAAGAAATGGTTAGTATTATTCAGATGTTCATACAAAATTATGTTTCTCACACAGTTCATTTGTTTTCGAGGGGTCCTCAGCTTTGCCTGCTACTAATTTTCACACGGGGCAATGCTCCGATAAAACACGCATCAAAGTTCTCAAGGTTTTCCTTTACCAACACAAACAATATTCCCACCAGACAAATGTGAATTCTACCAGCCCGAATAAGAGTAACCCAATGGCAGATTTATTCACGTGGTAACCAATAACAGATGTAAGAGAAACAATGGCTTTTTAACAGGAATAATGAATTGCAGTCATCGTTCACGGTTCATACTCACTGTCTGCATGGCTTGGAAGGGCGCTGTGCCAATGGTTACTGAACCACTACTTGCTGGAGGTGACGGGAAGTCCTGGTCAGGGCCCTTTGACCTGGGAGGGTTTGGCGAAGCCAGTGAAGATGGCTGTTTGCTTGGGGAATCTGCTGCCTGGGGAGGATAAATGCAGCAGCAGCCAGTCACCTACCCTATAGCAAGCAGTTCACATCCCCTAAACCCAGACGAGCTAAGTCAGCAAGTTCTACAGGATGACAACTGGACACAGGAATGCAAAAGAATAGCTTCTGCTTACAATTTCAAACCTCATCTGCTGAGGGTGCACACTAGCGTCTGCTTTACCCAGCTTGCTGACGAAGCGAAAGAGTCTCACCAATAATCAGTCTAACAGATGAGGGCTGAGCATTTCAGGAGTATCTAGTCCTTTTCAAGCCCTGAAATGGTATTTTCCATTAAGTTAAATGATATCAAATTCATACAGTAGAATTAGGCTTTAGGAAACCTTGAGTTACTTCCTGAGTTAGTGTTAACATTTTCCTGTTTGAAAATCTTTAGTGGACTTCTGAGTCAGCTGCCTAACAGAATCAAGCTTGAACTAATTTAAAATAATTCTTATCTAAGGGAAGGCTTAAAAAATTACCAAAATTCAATCCCAATGAGGTTAAGAAGAAAGCTATGACTCGCTTGGTAACAAATACTTTCTCTTCTTAAAATGAGGAAGCAAGTAATTTCAATTTAGACCAAGTCAGTATCATAAAAACTAAAGTTCATCTATATTTTCTTATATTCTGTAAAAAATATAAATTCTTATATAATAGTAAAAAAAAACAAAAACACATACACAGTGAAATCTAAGAGTTGATATATTAATACCAAAAAAAAAAACACAAAATCATCCTATCTTGCTATATCTATTTTTAAGGACTTACTGAAACTATTAGCAAAAAAAAAAAAAAAAAAAAAAAAAAAAAAAAAAAAAAAAAAAAAATTACTTTAGAATTAAAAGCACAAATATTAAATACTTTTGACAAAATTAGGCAAAAAGAGAATGTAAACCATTCCAAATGAATAAATGCTAATAGCATCACTATAAAGTTATTGAGTGTTCATAGTTAAATGAATAAAAAGATTTTTCTTCTCAGAATTTATTCAATATAAATATGGCGAGGAAACGACCTAACCCAACCTAAAACTTTTCATCTTTTTTAACAGTAGCAATTTGGACAAATTTATTGCAACTAATAAAGCAAGACTCTAGTAAGCCTACTTTATAGCAAAGCCACAATAAAATTACCTGTGTACGTTTCAGGACCACAACATCTATAGAAAGCAGTACGGAAGTACAGTATAAATGTTACATATGATAGTTCAATGGGTCGTTTGTGTAATTCACAAAATAAGCTGGTTCTGCTATTCTCCAAGACAGAAAAGAAATCAAGACCATTAGTCTCTCATTACCTCAGGGGTCTCTGAAGGCATAAACTCTGTTTCAGATCCCGAAGAAGCCTGATCGGTAGTTACCAAGCAAGCACTTGAACTACTGGTAACTGGAGAAACAGCAGCCTGGGCACAGGAAGACATAAAACTTTATAAAAGGCACATTTTTTGTTCACATTATATTTCTTGGGCCTTGGGCTTTCTAATACGTTATTGTTATTGAGAGCTCATTAATGCTAAATACTTCACCCTCTCTAACATTTAATCCAACAGTAGGCTTTTAGTTTTGTTTGTTTACTATTTTTTTAGAGGTCACCCAAGACTTTAAACATGAATCCTTGATTAAAATTTCAATATGAATAAGTACTTTTCCCACTTCTTGGATAGTGTGAGGACTTTGAACACTACTACCCTCATTTTATTGACAATCAAGCAGAGGCAAAGAAAGATTAAGTCATTTACCCAAGATCACACAAAATTAAGTGGCAGAGCTGAGATTCAAACCCAAGCAGTCAGCTGCATTGCCTTTTCCAGACCTGGTCACCAAAGGACACATCTAATCCCATCTTCACTTATCAAGATTCTTGGCCCTGGAAACTTGGGGCTAGATTTTCACTCTGGCACTCAATAGCAACTCACTGGAAGATGAGCGCAGGGCGCATTTAACACTCTAGGCATAGCTCTGCCAGGGATCATAGTAACTATGTTTTTAATCTGAGTGCTCTCAGGGTCTTAAAGAGGTAGGTAGGAATATAAATAGAAAGGATACACTGTGTATAAATCACAATGGCATCAAAATTCTAACAAAAAATTAAAGCTAATAATACTTATAAAATAAAAATTAGGGAAAAAAAGCATAGTAGGAACTAAAACTGTGACAACTGTAACCAATAAAAAACTAATAGAGTGGCTAGGAATTCTATGGTACAACAGGTATTACAATAGATATACCAGAGAGAGACCCACAAGGTCTTAAGTATCCATGAACCCACTCCGTTTATCTAAATGCATTGATACAGTTCTTAGAAGCCCAAGCAATAAAATGGGTGAATTGGAAACTAATTAACGGTAATCAATATCAAACCAGTTATGGTTCAGTGGTCTTCTAGAAGGAGTCATCATGATATAACACTTCTTGGGAAGGAGATGGGGGCCAAGTTTACAAAAGGCCTTACGGGGGGGAAAATTTTTTTATACCCTTTACATTTTATATAACGAAATAAATAGGTACAATTTGGATCTGAACTATTATGAGACTGAAGAGTTTCTAAAACAGGGCCGCTCTTCTGGCCCTCTCCTAGAAACTGCCCTGAGTAAGTGGGACTGACTACAGTGGAGACATAACGAGGCTCTAGCCACAGAAAGATTCACAGATGCTAAGTGAAGGCAACTTAGGCCATTGAATAGTTAAGATTTAAAAAACTTGAATTTTAGTTAAAAGGTTCATTTAACAAAAAAGATAAGGAAACATTTTTGTATTACCAGTAGTATTTATTATATTTAGAAATGATGGCAATTCTCTTTCTTTTTTTTTAAATATATTTTATTGATTTTTTTACAGAGAGGAGGAGAGAGGGATAGAGAGCTAGAAACGTCGATGAGACAAAAACATTGACCAGCTGCCTCTTGCACACCCACTACAGGGGATGTGCCCGCAACCAATGTACGTGCCCTTGACCGGGACCTTTCAGTCCGCAGACCGACGCTCTGCCACTGAGCCAAACCGGTTTCAGCAAAATGATGGCAATTCTTAATTCCAAATTATTGATCTTTAAGTATACCAGCTGAAGGTTGTTTTAAGTATTGATGAGTAAACATAATGTTACAGACCAGAACCATTACACCAGGCAAGTGGCTTTCCCCCCAAAAAAGTAATTAGTTTGTCAATTGAACATAACCAGCTGAAGAGAAAAAATGGAGCTCGTTAGTTACAGCAGTGACGGGGGTGAGAGACCTTGCCCAACAAACACATTTTGAAAACAGCCATACCGTATTAAAATAAATATAAACCACTGTAATATTGTAAGCAAATGACATTATTTTCTCAGAAGTTTTTGAGAAGAAAGACAATTACTGACCCACCTGGTAAAAATATTTAACATACTGTCAAAGTAGCTACTATCAAGAAAATTGCCAATGAGGCTTTTAGAGGGATTCAAAGAAAATATCTTTAGATGATAATGACCAGAAAACTTGAGCTTACCATTGATGGAAATTCAATGTGGCATTTACAGACTTCAATGATCTGGTCCCTTAATATCTCTAAAGTGTGTTCTGTTAAAATTAGTTCCTCAGAATATTAACTATTTGGGGGAAGGAGCAATGGCTAACCAAGAATTTTTTAAAATCAGTTTCTTTCTTTAGACCCTTTACTCTGCTGATATATTAAGTTACTTAGGTAGCTCAGTAGCAAAGGAAACTTCCCAGACAAGGTACCTCTAGACTCTTCAGGTGTGCTCCTTCCTTACTAAGTCAACTAGCTTTCTCCATTATAATTTACTAGGAGCCCAGTGTGTGATTCAAAATTGCGCGGCACCCTAGAGTCACCGGTCCGGCCCTGCCTCCCTCTCCAGCCCTTGAAGCAGCCATGGCCACTGCTGATCAGGCCCTCCCCCAGCACAGGTGCTTGGAGGCCTCTGCGGCCCCACCCCCAATGCGACACACGCAACCTCCTCCTGTCCAGTTGACCTGTTATGGTTAATTAGCAAATTTTTCTTTTTTATAAATACATATAGATGTTCTCCCATGGTCATTAGGGAATCTTTTGAGAACTGGCTGGTTGTACGTAATCTAAAAATTAGACGTGTATATTAGAATCACTAAGTCTGCTCATTCTTGCCAAAGTAGAAGTTTTTTTCCCTGAATAGCAAAGAAGAGTAAATGAAAGATTAATTTGGAAAAATTACCTGTAATGACTCTTGAAGAAAATCATTTTGACTGGTTAGATTTTGTTCTGGAGTTGCTGCAGGGAGTGAAATCAACAGTAAACCACTGAGGAAGGAGAAAAGGTTATGCATATCAACTGTGTGGAAACTAAAGTTTATACTTCACCAAAAAAATAAAATTAAAACAAAACAGTAGCTGAAAAGACTAGGTCTCAAGTCCATCATGAGTGTTCTAGTAGAGCACTACAAAGAGTCAGGGAAAATGTAGAAGAGGATACAAAGAGTCAGAAAAAAATGTAGAGGAGGAGGATACTAGTTCTATCTATGATACATAATATTTCAAGGTTAAATGGGCAAAAGCAGCTTATCAAGGCCTCCAGAAGAACAGAAATACAACTTTTAAAATAAAGGGTAAGCCCAGACAGTATGGCTTAGTGTTTGAGTGTCGACCTGTGAACCAGGAGGTCACGGTTCGATTCCCTGTGGGTCAGTGCACATGCCCGGGTTGCAGGCTTGATCCCCAGTGTGGGGCATGCAGGATTCTCTCTCATCACTGATGTTTCCATCTCTCTCTCCCTCTCTTCCTCTCTGAAATAAATATATTTTTCAAAAAGAATGCTTATAAAAAATAAATAAAAATAACAGGCAGTAGTAATCTGAAAAGATAAAATCTGAGCCATCATGAATAGTAATTAATTTGTTCATGTAAGTTTCAAGTTTCAAAGTAAATCTTAGCTGGGTCATCTGTCTCTTTGTCCATGCATATTAATATACTTTTCACTTACCTGGTTTCAGTTTGGTTTTTCCTTGTTAACGTCCATCAGTTTTGTTAATTACTCTAGTTTTTCCTTATTTCAGCCAGGAATTGCTGTATAATCTTACTACAGCTGGCCTATGTCTTTGATTCCATCACCCTTCCCCTGAAATAAACTAGTGTAGAGCAAAAGGCCTAAAGTTGGAAGCATCAGGCCAGATTCAAATCGAGGCTCCATCATTAATTACTACATTACTCAGTATACCGATTATCACTGAGGCAACTTCACTCACAGTCAGGACCCAAGAGCCTCGATGCTAGATATATGCAGTTGAAAGGAGTCAAGCAAGTTCTAGAGAGAATTCACTCCAAGACAGAAAAAACAAACCTGCAAAAACAGCTACTGTGCATTTCCATTCACCCATCTGGAGACTTTCTCTAAAATGCAAATATCATTATGGGAATTTACCCATATATAACTGATAATATATGGATACTTAGAATAAATTAACACATGGACAGAGATTAACCCTTAAGATATCTAGAATAAAATTGCTGGTAAAAGAAATAAATGCTAGACCTACAGCTCCTTATTCCAAGTCTCAAGAATGATCACATACCTGCTGGGCTCCCTGGCGTAACAGAAGGCGGCTGTGAGGGTGAAATTGCACTTGAAGGTTTGTCACAATCCAGAACAGATTCCTAAAGCCAAGTTTTTAAATAATGAATAGAAACAAAGGTTATTCATTTAAGAGCTATTGCCATTAAATGATTCATGATGTTGTCCATAGCTTATTAGGCATATGAATCTAGCTAATAACGATCTCAAAAGACTTTCCAGAAGCAGAAATTAAGAGTTAAAATGAAAAACTAAAGTAATTGTCAAACTTTAAAACTGTGTCAAGTTTTAAAACTATTATACAATAGTAATTCTAAGGCCTGCCATGGGGAGAAAAAAAAAAACTCCTGACTTGAGGTCTTAAACAAAGGCATTAATCCTAGTAGCGACTGAACCCTCATTTTTATTATACCCAAACAATGAGAGGCTCTAATTATTTTGTCTCAACCACTGAACTAGCTCATGGCATTAAATGCTTTCATGATGAGAAGCCATTCTCTCCTGCCATCTGCCTATCTTGGGTCTCCAGGAAATGTTTCCAACACTGTGAATACTCAAGCTACACACCTGTAGTGATCATGTTAGTTCTTCAATTTATCTTTAGATACTATGAAGGATAAGCAATTCCCCCATTGTACAAATAAGTAGAGGGGCAGAAGCAAAATAACTTGCCATTGATTCTACAGCTGGTAAACTGGTAGAAATGGGGTTTAAACACAGACCTAATTTCAAGCGCAAGATCCTATTACTACACAAGACTATCTTATCTGTCTACTTCATCCCTCAGTAACATCACACTATTCTGAAATTCTGCAAGCATCTGTAGGACACAATTTAACACTTAACTATTGGCTTAACACATGTTCACAACCTTATACAACTGGAATCTAAACTCTTTAAAGCCAATGAATGTCTCATGATTTTCTCTACACAAGGGCTCTTGTCAGAATACCAAGCATAGAGTAGGTTTCTCACAATCTCAGTGCAAACTACTGGTGATCTATAGTTGTAAAAAGCACCGTAGGCTTTTTACATGTTTAATTCATTTTGTAACAACAAACAGAAATAGAAACTATTATCCTTATTCTTATTTATTTTTAATATACTTTATTGATTTCAGAGAGGAAGGGAGAGGGAGAGAGAAATAGAAACATCAACAATATGAGAGAATCATTGATTGGCTGCCTCTTACATGCCCCAAACCGGGGATCGAGCCCGCAACCCAGGCATGTGCCCTTGGCCGGAACTGAACCTAGGACCTTTCAGTCTGCAGGCTGTAACTCTATCCATTAAGCCAAACCAGCTAGAGCCATCCTTATTTTTAAACGAAACTGAGGCAGTAACTTGCCTAAACTCTCCAAGCTAGGAAGTGGCAGAGCCAGGATTCGTGTTCATTCCCGAACACCAGAATCTATGCTCTTAACAACTTGGTTATAATGCTGCGGGTCAGAAGTGAATTGCCCCATGAATATAATTTAAGATTCATTCAATAATGACTCATACTTGCATAAAGTTACAGGTTCCTTGAATTTGGGTCATCAGATCCTGCAGTTTTTCTTTCCTCAATACTGGATCCTTTGGAAGAGGAGAGGAAGAACCTACAGGCTGATGCATGGGCTTAGGCACCTACAAGACAAACCCATAAAGTATTAGGAGTAAAATTCAACTTCGATAACCTAATTTAGGAATCTTGGCCTGTCATTACATCTACATGAAATCAAAACACATAGCAATGCTCATTTATCATATTTATCTCAGGTAAAGAATTTCCACCTAAATGCATTTTCTAAATAATTTAATCAAACTTTAAATACCACCCCCTTCAGAATAACTTTAATGGAAATCTTTCTAAAACATCCTCTTCTTAAAGAGAAAGGCCCAAGGCCTGGCTGAGGTGGCTCAGTGGTTGAGCATCAACCTGTGTGCCAGGAGGGCACAATTTGATTCCGGTCAAGTCACATGCCTGGGTTTCTAGTTCTATCCCCAGTGTGGGGCGTGCAGGAGGTAGCCAATCAGTAATTCTCTCTCATTACTGATGTTTCTCTTTCTCTCTCCCTCTCCCTTCCTCTCTGAAATCAATAAAAATATAAAAATTAAAATAGAAGATCCAAAATAGCAGGGCTTGATAGGAAATTATTTCACTGTAGACTTCAGTTATTGTATGTTTTCTAGGCCAACATGCCACTAGCTCTAAGGCACACCAATGATTTTTTCTGTAAAAAATTACTACTACTATATGAAATATACATCCCATTTTAAAGATATATCTGATTTCAGAAACATGAATATGTAAAATTATATACATATACCCTAGAATTGAGGGAATATACTATCATGTTTTGTTAAAGAGTAAGTATACTTTGAGGGGCTAATGGTGTTTATAAGGTGGTTAACCCTCATGCTAAATTGATTCAGATTGCTGCACACCCTGAATTAAACCTCTTTATAGTTATTTATTACAGCTGTCAGCATGCCTCTTCCTTCCAGCACCTCTTCTCCAACTTTTAATGTATTCGGTAGTCACACAGCTCAACTGATCAAAGTATCCCATAAAATAAGTTAATAGATCCTAAGTGAATGAATGAAAAGCTCCTTTAGGAAAAAAAGTATGAGCGTTAGTGTTTAATTTCATGTTATTTAGTCTTTTGCCTTTGAATATTATTTTGCCCTTGAATGTACTTACTCATGTTCTAGACAGCTGAGCTTGTAAGACAGATACAGAGACAAATATTGAATTATACACAGCCACTGAGAGACCTTGCAACTTTAGTATAATGCTGTGCCATAAAAGCAAATTAAATCAGTTCTGACCTTTATAACTAAACACCTCTGATTTCAAATTATTCTGCAAATGTCATGGCATCAATATTCTGGTATGGTAAAGGCTCAGCACTGCTATATCCAGTGGAATTTTAAGTTGGGTATTTTAAATCAACATTGAGGCATAAAACGGGGGTTTATTTTAATATATTTTTATTGATTTCAGAGAGGAAAGGAGAGGGAGAGGCAGAAATATAAATGATGAGAGAGGAACATTGATTGGCTGCCTCCTGCACACCACACAGTGGGGATGGAGCCTGCAACCCGGGCATGTGTCTTTAACAGGAATAAAACCTGGACCTCCTGGTTCATAGGTTGATGCTCAACTACTGAACCACACTGGCTGGGGAAAAAAAACAAAAACAAAAAAACACTGGGTTTTTAAATATAAGTTTCTCAAAATGACATATTACAATTACTGTGTGTGATATCTAGTTAGTGAAATAACACTATCAATCTTCTGCAGGGTCAGAAAAACATGAAAATTAATATTAACACCTGAAGAAAGAGGAAGAGAGGAGAACAAAAGGAGACAAGTAAACTCTAAAATTCCCTTCACAGGTAGGATGGAGGTAGGGATAATTTATTTATAAAATGCGATGCTTTGATTTCCCCAAGCAAAATGTTTTTCACGCCGTTGGAGGACCAAAGACTTATCCGAAAACTTCTGGCTAAAACGGCACGAAGTGTAAGGAACGCTACTAGAGAGGAGAACACTGGAAGGATAAAACATTCACACTGCTTAGCAAACAAGGTGAGGCCATTTTGCATTTAAATAGTGGAAAATAAATTATAATTTAATAAATATATAACGCTAACTAACACTGTATGAAAGGATTATACATCATAAGTTTTCTTATTTTCCTTTCTCCAGCTAGAGGATATCTCCAACCACCATGGACCTTCTTCAAAGAGTACAGGCTAATCTGAGTGACTACAAATGAGTTGAAAGAGAAGCAAGAGAACACAGAAAAATATAAATTCTTTCAGAAAAAGTCACCCATGGACCAGGTCAAAGGTAACAAATCTCCCACCTCGGACATGCATTTACATCTCTCACTTATTCTTGTCTCAACTACCCACTATTTTGACGTCATATCATGTCATTACACTTTTGGCATTAAAACAGTATTTCCTCATTGGGAAAATTTCATCTCAGGTTAGGCTCAACAGACTGACTAGGTCTACTTCCAATTTTCAAGGGAAAACAATAAATTACACATTAAAGAGTTACGTGAAATACTGTATACATTAATTTAACATGGGTTTTGTTGATTTTTTTTTTTTTAATAAAGCTAAAGTTATCGTTTCCACAGCTCCTTATTTATGTCTACATTGCCAGCCACAGGCTAATAGAGATCAACTCACATCTTTGGGTTCTGCATTCAACTTCCCGGGCAGGAGCTGGTCATTTGGCATGAGGCTTCCTGCAGCTGCCCCCCAGGACTTGGGAGAAATCTGTGGTTGTGGTGTTAGAGGGTGTTTTGGATGCTCCACATTGTTTTCCCAGGGCTTGGGAGCCTCTGCCTGACTTGCATCCTGTTCTTCACACATGGGTGTGGTCCATGACTTGCTGAGGTCCTGTTCACTCTGCAGGGAAGGTGTCCAAGACTTCGCAGTTTGCTTCTTTGGATCCTGTTCTTTCTGCAGTTGAACTGGCCAGGGCTTTGGTGTCTCCTGCTTCTTTTGTTCCTCTTGAACGTATCCTGCTTTGGGTTTGGGAGTTTCTTGCTTCCACTGGCCAGGGGTTAGCTTGGGTTTAGAGACATCCTGCTGCTTCTGTTCTTCCTGCAGAGAGGGCCTGGGCTTGGCCATCTCTTGCTTCCTCTGTCCGGAGGAAACCACAGGCCTTGCCAGCTCCTGCTGCTTAACAGAGGGCTCCCAGGACAGGAAGGATTCCTGTTTCTTCTCCTCACCAGCTGGTTCAGTAAGCTTATCCCAACATTTGGGGAGATTTGGTTTTCTAGCATAATCTGCTTCCCAAGATTGCTCTTCATGCTGCTTGCTTGAATAATCTACTTCTGCTTTGTAGCGTCTGTTAAGAAACTAGACCAGAGGGGGGGGAAATGTGCTGAGTCACTAAATGTATAGAAGACCTTGCGGGGAATAGTGAACTCTCTTAGAATCCCTATGTCCATTGGTCTGAACCACTCTACCTACGGGAAATTTCTCTTCTTATTCTACTTGAAAAGACTGTCCTACTTTTTTGTCCTTTCCTTTCTCCTCTCAATTAACAGGAATACAAACTTTGCTATGTGAAAAGAAACAATCTATATTTGACTGGCAGAGTCAGAATAACCTTAATAAAAGAGCCCGAATCAAGTAAATGTGGCACCACGGTGTGCAGTTCTGGGCAGTCTTAGGTGAGTCAAATATATATATATATATATTGCTACTTTGGAAACATCAAAGTTTATATTTCTGACTACCCACCTGACGCCCTTAAACATAAAGGCAGAGGACAGTCCAACTAAACAAAGTTATATTGTTTAACCTTAAGCCTTATGTTTCTTAAATTACCAGACTTTCCTTTATTTTCATTATGTATCCGTCAATACTGTGATGTTGCCTCTTCCATTCTTTCTAGTTCCTATGAATTTCAATGTCACTTCGAAAAGAACAAATACCCTCTTCTATTACTAACCTGAGAAAATTTTGGAGAGCGCAAGATTCTACCCATTTTTAAATTCTAACACAAGGGCCAACAACAATAACACCTAACATAAGCAGTTATTGTGTGGCAGGCCAAATTCTAAGTAATGGAGAGGTTAAGCTGACTCCTGTAATCCTCACAATAACCACATGAGGCAGGCATTTCTATCATTCCCCACCTTATGCATAAGGATAACAGACATAGATATCTTGCCCAAAGTCACTAGAATGGTAAGCTGCAGAGCCAGGATTCAAGCTTAAGTAGTACACCTCCAGGGCAGGAATTTCCAACCACAAACACTACACAAAAGCTCAAAAACCAAAATCAGCCAATTACCTTTCTATACCTTACCTCTTGTGGTTGTATCTCTGGCTGTGTAAATTCCATAAGAGACTCTGGGAAGATGAAAGAAATATAGGTAAACTACATGTTTTCAGACAGATTACAACTAGTTTATTCTAGCACCATATTTCAGAGGAGTTATTAAAAAAAAAAAGATAGTAAAATTAAGTATATTTATAGCAGGAGTAACTCTGTTGTTTGTTAGTCAAAAGCTTGTGGTCCGAGGCTAGCTGAAGCTAATAGCTCGCCTCATAGAAAGTCCTTTTCTAAAGTCAAGTTAAAGTTAAAAACAGATTTCTGATGGAAAACAAGACTATCTCCTCTTATCCACAAACACAGCTTATGTCAAGCTGGAATTACAGTTCCGGGACCCATAGGGTAATAATGAATCATCTCAGCTTGAAATATAAAGGCCTCCTACAAGCCAGTTTAAGATCGGGAGGAGGGTGAGGGAGTGAAGATACTAAGCACTGGATTTTGCATTAGAAACTAAGAGGAAGTGGCTTTCAGAACCCTGCCTCAACTACCTCCTTAGAAGTGATATTTCTTATATATATTTTTAATTGATTTTAGAGAGGAAGAGAAAGAGAGAAACAATAATGATGAGAGAGAATCACTGAGTGCGCCTCCTGCATGCCCCTCGCTGGGGATAGAGCCCACAACCCCAGCATGTGCCCTGACCAGGAATCAAACCGTGGCCTCCAGGATCGTAGGGTGATGATCAACCTCTGAGTCATGCCAGCCAGGCAGAAGTGATATTTCTTAAATAAATCCAGCTTCAACAAACAAAAGCAAAAGTGCCATTTGCTCAAAGTATTTCTTTTCCAAGTAAAGTGGGAATTTTGAAAAGCATATTTCTTTGATTGGAATTATTATATTTACTTGGGCACTTTTTTTCCTTAAACAGTATGTTAACTTTAAGTTATTAACACTCTTATCTACTCCAGTATTGGATAGTACTATAATTTACATTTTAAACAATTTCAAATGAAATTATCCTACTACTAGTTTAACAAAGCGGTTCAAACTCCATTGAATCTCATCTTAACAGTGCACGCTCTTGTAACAAAGTGTAACTTAACATTTCTAGTAAGGTTCACTCTTAATAGAAGGCAAATCATGGTAATAAAGCCTAGTGATATTTCCTAAAGTGAGGTTTATCCTGCTACAAGTAAAGATTTTCATGCATTACACACTAACAAATTAAAACATGACAATCATTTCACAGTGATTTGTTTCATATTTGGGCATTAAGGACGCAATCACTATACAGAATTTCAGAAAGCACAACAAACCTGACTCTCTGACAGATTCAGTCTTCAATAACTGTTTTCTCTTCTCTAATTTTATTTCTTCCTCCAGTGATACTTTTTTTTCCTGAGCATTTTTTGGAACTGGGATACTTTCAAAATAGCCTGAGTTCAGCAATTTAGACAGTAGATCTTTCACATGTTTGTCTAAGAAAAAGTGATGAAGATTTAGTTATCATATAACCTAAAAGGTCAAGGGAAATTATTTGGAATAGAAATCCTAACATAATTTTATCCTATAATGTCACCACAACATTTTACATTAGAGGGGATTCAGAGAACTAGTCAGTACCATGAAAAATAAATATGCAGCCAATCTTTATGTCAGGCTGAATCAATATAAATTTTAACAATCAGAATCCCAAAATTTAGCAAGTTACTTAAGTTTCTCTGGGTCTCCATTTCCACTATGTGAGAAATGACTAAAAATCAGAGATCCTTATCAAAATCTCAAATATGTTACAAAAATATACACATTATTCCCTGAGCTTAAGGAAAAGTCATATCTCCCATCTGCTTCCAAGATATCATAACTAGCAATTACTCTATCTTCCCCAAGTCATGAAAGCTTTACAGAAGTAAAAGCTCCTCAATCATAACCATTAGAAAACCCTATGTTGGACAATCTCTAAAAGATTTTTAAACTTCAAAATTCCATGATTAAGACTTTACTTGAGTTGTGCTTTATGTCACTCCTAGCACATCATCCTTTGATGATCAAGAAAAATCTTGCCAAAACCCATCTGGCTCAGTGGATAGAGCGTCGGCCTGTGGACTGAAAGGTCCCAGGTTCGATTCCAGTCAAGGGTATGTATCTTGGTTGTGGGCACATCCCCAATAGGGAGTGTGCAAGAGGCAGCTGATTGATGTTTCTTTCTCATCGATGTTTCTAACTCTCTATCCCTCTCTCTTCCTTTCTGTAAAAAATCCATAAAATATATATTTTTAAATTAAAAAAATCTTAAAATGATGTTAAAGTTACTTCATTTTTAATATCCATTAAAACTCTAATTACCAAATTAAGCTGAGTTCCCATACTTGATTTGAGTTTATTACTCCTTTCATAGGAGTACTATGACAGATTTTTGTCTTTCCTTAAAATAAAATCAACTTTGAGCTATAATTTACAAACAAAAAAATCATCCACTTGAAGTACACAGAAAGTCATGTTATTTCTGGCATTTCCACCATAACAATGATACAGAACATTTTTATCAACTCAAAAAGTTCCTTCATATCCCTCTTTTAATCAACCCCCTTCCCCCTCTCCCTGGAACCACTGACCTGCTCTCATTCTAGTTATGTCTTTTCTAGAATTTCATATAAATGGAATCATATAATATGTGCTCATTTTTGTCTGGCTTATTTTACTCAACATAATTATTTTTAGATTCACCCATGCTATTGCATATATGAATACTTCATTCCATTTTTTATTGCTGAATGGATTCCACTGTATGTATATGCCACATTTTGTTTATCAATTATCAACTGATGTACATCTGGGCCATGTTTAGTTTGGAGCTATCATGAATAAAGCCGGTATGAACATTCATGTACAAATACTTATGTGAACATGTTTTCCGTTCTCTTGGGTATTAAAAGTATAACTGCTTTGTTATATAGTAAGTGTACACTTAATTTTATTTTTTAAAACTGCCGAATGATTTTCCAAAGTATTTGTATCATTTTTCATTCTAACCAAGAAATTTCTATGATCGAAACTTGAAAGGACTTAGAAAGTTTGTGACAGTTATACATACTTAAGAGTATTTTTAAAAAGGAAGCAACCACTATTAACAAAAACATTTGCTAGCTTCAAATGAATTTTCATTATCCTAAGCTAGGATTTCATGTCTGGCCATTTATATTTGGGCATTGGGCCAACATCTACTTAAGAAGCCAAAAGAACTTTCTCTCCAGCTCATTTCCAGATCAATAGACAACAATACATCAGTAGACTATGTAGCCAAACCATTCATATATATCTTAGGCAAGTTTGGTAGATAAATCTTAATATTGACAATGTGTAGATTTAAAATTCTTAAATAGAACAGGCACAACTATTCAGAATAGAGAACCGAACTCCAAAAGGGTCAGGCTAGTGTTAAAGCTCGCACTAGACCCTAGCTAGCTCTTGTTCCCAAATCACAGCGACTTTCCACTTGAAAACTCCCTCTAGGTTTTGTTTTAATGAGTGTAATTATACAACAGCTGCTTTTAGCAGAACTAAACAAAGAGATCATTCTCCCCATGAAAATAAATATTGCAGACAAGTAAGTTCTGAGGGACTGATGCAGTTTCAGCCCTCAATATCATTCTAAACATATAGACATAAAGTTTGGTATTGACTGTAAAAGTCCAGAGTAAAGAAAACTCACATGTTGTTCCTACCACTGCTTTCTCACTACCTTCCAAAAGGTCCCAAAAATACAAGGATGACTTCTCCATCTGGTCTTCAACACTGATAAGGAAAAGCAGCAGCAGAACAAAGTGGCTTTAGAGATACATACATTGATACATATACATACATATATACATATACATATACATATACATATACATATACATATACATGTATATATATCCTAAATAATAAAAGGCTAATATGCAAATCAACCAAACTATAGAATGACTGTTCACTATGACATGCACTGACCACCAGGGGGCAGACGCTCAATGCAGGAGCTGCTTTTCAATCGTCAGTGCGCTCCCACAGGGGGAGTGCTGCTCGGCCTGAAGCCGGGCTTATAGCTGGTGAGCACAGCTGCGGTGGCGGGAGCCTCTCCAACCTCCACGGCAGCACTAAGGACCCTTCATGGGATGTCCACCTGCCAGCTTAGGCCCACTCCACACGAGGAGCAGGCCTAAGCTGACAGGCGGATATCCCCCAAGGCTCCTGAACTGTGAGAAGACACAGGCCGGGCTGAGGGACACCTCCCCCCTCTCAAAAAAAAAAAAGTGCATGAATGTCATGCACTGGCATTCTAGTATGTGTGTGTATATATATATATATATATATATATATATATATATATATATTTATTTATATATATATATATATATGGAGCAGTGCAATTTATACAATTAATCCATAAACAGTCAAGACATTGAATGTGCATTTTATCTTTTTATTCTTTGGAAAATGGAAAGTTTACAAAAGATGACTAACTGCCCATTTATGGTTTTCTTCTGTAAGTATTTTTCCTCAAAACAACCAAAACAAGAATTTTTACCAAATACAGCTATTAAGGAATAATCCAAAAAGAGCTTAAAATTGTCAATGCCATAGCATTCATTATCAAGCCTATGTCCTACATAAAAGAACTTTGCAATGAAAATATTAAGAGCTGTATTTAACTTTAAAGAGAGCAGCTTATTTTTCAAATTATAATCACTTGCATTTCACATATTAAAGTAAGCTACATTCCCTGAACACACCAAAGTGAAGTAAGAGAAAGAAGACAACAAACAGAGAATGATGATGGACTAGACTATCAGAATAGGGATAAATAAATAAATATATATATATATATATGGCTGTCTATAGGTAATTGAGTTTTATTAGGTTTCCTGATACAAGTTTGATTTCCAATAGCAGTTGAAATTTAACTCTTAGTTAGATACAGACTATTCCAATGTTGCGTCTAGCTAGCATGGCTAACAGACACAACATTGGAATAGCCTATATCTAACAAAGAAAGGCTTAGAGAGCTGTTCGTTAGCTAATTTATTCCTTCAAAGCAAGAATAGAAAATGGATAACTGTGAGGGGGTAGGGACATGGGTAGGAAGGGTGGAGACTGAGCAGCCTCCATTTGCTGGTTTGGTATTTTTAATTATCAGGTTTGTTTCTCAGTATTTATTTGCAGCACAAAAACACAAAATAATCTCCCTTTAAAATGTTAATGAAACTAGTCAAGATAAATTTTATTTACCTCCACTTTAAGTAAAGCAGTCAAAAGGCAAAGAATCTCAGGTAATACAACAGCCTGAGATAATTACATTTTAAAAAAAATTTTTTTTAAGAATAGTATGCAGAACTGCCCTGACCAATTTGGCTCAGTGGATAGAGCGTCAGTCTGTGGATTGAAGGGTCCCAGGTTTGATTCTGGTCATCCCCAGTAGGGGGTGTGCAGGAGGCAGCTGATCTATGTTTCTCTCTCATCAATGTTTCTAACTCTCTATCCCTCTCTCTTCCTCTCTGTAAAAAATCAATTATATATATATATATATATATATATATATATATATATATATATATATATATTTTTTTTTTTTTTTTTAAAGAACATGCATAACTAGTATTATGGTTAACACTTACACAAGGTTAAAATTTGGTGATCAGTCATTACTTTTTAAAATCCATATTACAATAAAGAAGTAGGTTATGAGGTCATTAATATTCACTTTCTTCCTAATAGTCTATCAACCCTGTTAGAGTCTAGGCAGGCCAACATTTCCCGTGTCGAATCAAATTAATGTTTTCCTAATTACTACATACATATTTTTATTTTTTTTATATTTACAAAAGTTAGGCTAAAGTGTTGTGTGTTCTATTTCCAGAAAAATATTTTCATTGGCTTACCTCAGACTTTCATTTCTTTCAGGGCAGGTCAGTTTCGAAAATTTAATGAGGTAGTCAAGTTCTTTTAAAGGCAAATACACTGCACCATTCAAGCCCTCCTTCAAGTCCTTCTGTACATGTTCCTGTGTCAAGTTCTGTAATACATACTGAACCTGGAGGACAGTGCAGAGTTTTTTCTTCTCAGCCTCAAGTTTTAGCATGTGCTCCCTTCGCTGGGCCTTCTTCTGGGCTTTAAGGAGCTGTTAAAACAAAGGCTAATTAAAATTGACTAATCTCAGAGACTTGAGATTAGAAGATAAAACTCACATACAGGGTGGCAAAAGTAAGTTTATAGTTGTGAGTATCCAAACACAGAGTTTATTATTGAATTATTTATGTATATTACAACTATAAACCTATTTGTGCCCAGGCGTGGATGTAACACTGACTGTGAAGTTTGATACATTCATTTAACCCTGCTTCCTCCTTCAGCAGCAGAAGTCCCAGAGTAAGAAACTGGTTTGTCTCAGGTAACCATAGCCCAGAGGACCCAGATTGTCCGCCTTCAGCTCCAGGCTCTATCTAGTACCTCCAATATCACCATAAAGAGAAGCAAGCACCCACCGCAGATATCCGCAGCAATCCAAGGTTTTACTTTTCCATATTTGGTATTATCAAGCCTTCTTAGACCAAATATTTTAAGAAAATGCTTCATTCTGTTTTAGGTTATTTTTTTAATCTCATGTTCCAGGAGAAGAATATTTAAACTATAATAGTTTTAAACCAACCAAAGACAACCAACTGGCTACAGCACAAGGAATGGAAAGCCAAACAGAAATAAAATGCCTAACAAATGTAATGGGGGGGAACAGCCATAGCCACAGCCAACAGGCTTGTTTTAAAAGTAAAGAGATATTTTCAGAATCGTGTGCCAGTCTTGATGGAGCCTGTATCTTCCAATATTTAGCTGACAAAACACATATGGAAAATTGTCTACTCTAAAGCTCAGAACTGCAACACCTTAAGGTCTGACATAATACATGGCTTCTCGTTAAAAAAATAATAACACAACAAACAATAAAAAGTACTATCTATTTCCACTAAGAAACTTAAACATTTTTTTCTCCCCATAGTTATTTTTCTGATTGTAATGTTTACTTCATGTTGGGTATTTTCCAAGATATAAAGATCAAGAGAACAACAACAAAGTCTAAAAACTTACTCCTATAGGTAGGTTAAATTATTTTGATATAGCATTAGTATTTAAAACTCTACAATAGAGATGTGTATATTCATAAATCCTAACAGATAAAGACTGAGGAGAAAACTCAACAAAAATATTCATCATGGCATTCTTAACTAACTTTCTAGAGGTTATGAAAGAAACTTAGTAAACTTGACTTGTGCTACTCTCAGGGACAGGAGACAAGGAATGAAAATAAAAGTGTGAGAATGAGGCAGGGGTTAATGGGTTAAGGGTATTTTCTTCAGGATGGCGAAGGCTCAGAAAATCTTTTCCGAGACTTTAATTTGGACTCACTGCAGTACTAATTAACCAAACAACTACAGTAGTTTCCGTTTCCGCTTGAGAGGAGGAAAAAATATGCAATGCAAGTTGAACTATCCAAGTCTTATAATGACACAGTCTCATGATGATGTAGGGAGAGGCAACTGATGCCAAGGGCATCTTCAAGATGGTATCACAAGATAACCTCAGATCTCTAGTTAGCCATCTCTCAGGGTTCGATTAGGTGTTCTTATGAGTTCATGCTACCCTGAACTTCCTCTATCCAAGTATCCATTATATCAAATGGTTATCTTTTTATTTATTTGCCATCCCCCCTCTCTCTTTTGGGCTTCAACTCCATGATGACAAAGATTATATGTCCACTGTTCACCAATATATCACTAGTGCCCAGGACAGAACTGGACACATGACAAACTTCATAGATTTGCTGAGTCAATCAAGTATCAAGTAAGAAAGCATGTTGTTTCCTAGATTATAATCAGATGCTCCTGTCACAAACATTCCTGATAACACCCTCTTTCTCCCTCTTTATATAGAAGCTAAGAAGTCATGTTACATCATCTCCTCTTCTTCCAATGGAGGACAGGTTGGAAATAAGAAGTATAAGCTGCTATCAACCAACAGTCCTGAATAATCAAATTTATTTTCTGAACCATGATGCAAAATACCCAGCAAGGGACAAAGCTCCTATCATGCAGACTAAAAGAGGTGTGGCTGGGCTAAAGGGAAAGAAGAAAACGTTACACAAGCTGCAAAACTGGCTATCACAGAAGAGATTTAACAAAAAATTTAAAAAAAAATTTTTTAAACTTTAGTAAAAGAAGAGCCCAATAATTATTGGGCTGGAAGGTACTGACAGGTACTTCTAGGGTCGTGATTCATTAAGCCGCACTCCCAAATACTTTTTAGCACCTCAACAAAGAAAAATAATCTCACACATAACAAAATCTGGCAGTTTGAAAGCTAGCTCTAGACCATAGAAGTGGAAAAACAAGTGAATATACAGGTACCATATCTATAAAAGTAAATGGAAGAACACAGGTGTTTTGTTTTTTTGGGGGGGTTTTGTGTGTGTGTGTGTGTGTGTGTGTGTGTGTGTGTTTAATATATTTTATTGATTTTTTACAGAGAGGAAGGGAGAGAGATAGAGAGCCAGAAATGTTGATGAGAGAGAAACATCGACCAGCCTCCTCCTGCACACCCCCCAATGGGGATGTGCCCGCAACCAACGTACATGCCCTCGACCGGAATCGAACCCGGGACCTTTCAGTCCACAGACCTATGCTCTACCACTGAGCCAAACCGGTTTTGGCAAGTACACAGTTTTTAAGAATGAAAAGTATTAGAGCTCTACTTTTATTCTACCACTTCCTGGTCATATGACTTGGAAGAAGTTCCTTTTGTTCTGATTCTCAGATTCCTTATCTGAAAAATGGGGACAACTTATATCTACTTTCTGGGTTGCTATAAAAACAAGTGGATTTTTGTAGGTTTATGGCACATGGAAAGTATCTTAAAAAAGATTTATATCTAAAACCAAAAAACCACATATTGAAAAAATAAACTCCTGTATGGAAAATTAAAATTTGATAGAGTAACTTTGAGTAAAGAGTGTCAATGGAAAATTTTTAAGTATTAAAGGTACATTTCCAACCATTCAAACAGAAGGTTGATATGAATGATCTTTTTAGAGTAAAATGAACCAAAACTAAATAAACTTAACATATTTGGGGGGGAAGAGAGTTGAGAATCGATCACATAAGAAGACAAATTGACTTAAAAGTACTGTCTCTAAAATAGACTATAAATATTTAATAACTGTGGAATTAATAGTAAGTACTAAAATGAAGTGACTCATGAATAGCAATGAGTTAAAATATGTTGTGGTTGACAAAAAGAGCTAATATCATCTTAGACTTACATTAACAGAAATATCCAGAAAACAGAAGTTAGTGGCTCCACACTAGGCTATTTTAGACTTACACACTAACTCTGAGATTTAATGAAGGCAGACATCCAGAAGAGAGAACTCCGGACTATTTTACAAGGATTAAGATGGTAGATGTCTTCAGCCTAGAAAGTATGCTTTGGGTTTTTGGTGGGATTTTTTTCTGGAGGCACAGGGTATGCTGGTGGTTGATGCCAGAGAAACGGAGGAGAGAATTTCAGTTCACCAAACAAGAACAAAATAACCAAAAAGTAGAAGAAACTATCTTATGAGGTATGCTCCCAATACAGAAATGAATTTACAAAGAAGATTTCAATTGTTAGAACATGATCTTACAAGGGCCTTCTAACTAAGATTCTAAAACAGTGAAGAATACTCTGTTAATGAATGCTTAAGATTTCACATTAATTAATGATTCAGTTTGCCAGAGATAAAAGTTTGAATCATCAAAATAGAGAACCTAACAGGTGAGACCAGATTAACTCTAACATGAATCATAAATCTTCCTGGTAATAACTGCCGTGGTATCCAGAAGAGTCTAACAATCCAAGTTTCCTAGTACATTAAGTAATGCTGACCTTAGATGTTTATCGAGTATAAATGTGCAGGCCTATATTCTAAAATATCCTATATAATAAAAGGCTAATATGCAAATCAACCAAATAGCTGAACAACCAGTTGCTATGATGCACACTGACCACCAAGGGGCAGATACTCAATGCCAGAACTGCCCCCTGGTGGTCAGTGTGCTCCCACAGGGAGAGCGCTGCTCAACCAGAAGTCAGGCTCATGGCTGCTGAGCACAGTGGCGGTGGTGAGAGCCTCTCCCGCCTCAGTGGCAGTGCTAGGGATGTCTGACTGCTGGCTTGGAGCGGGCCTAAGCCATCAATTGGACATCCCCTGAGGACTCCCAGACTGCAAGAGGGCACAAGCCAGGCTGAGGACACCCCACCCCTGAGTGCATGGATTTCATGCACCGGGCCTCTAGTATTTAATAAATGTGCCCATAAAAATAGTTTTTATTCCCTTCTCGGTGACTGCTATGGTTTCACAGTGAAACAATACACATTAATTAGATAACTAATACTTTATCCACAGTGTCTCACATTCAGACATCATTGTGTTCTATGGAAGCTCCAGAAATCTGAAAACTATGAGTTCTGAAGTAGCTATGCTCAACCCACATCCACAATAAGGTATGAGCAGGAATGAGATGGATGATAACAAAGTACCATCAGCAGACCCTGACATTTTCTTCCAGATTAGTGGTGGAACTGGTTTTAAGTAAAACATACTCACATCTTGGCTCAGTCCTGAGAAGGTTTTCTGAAGCTCCTTGGCAAATTCTAAGTTATGCAGCACTTCTTCATATTTCTCAACTGCTTCCTACCAAATAGGAGCAGAAAACACCAATTCTGTGAACTTCTGAGTACAAATGTCAAAATAAGTGTTCCTTAAAAACGTAAGAGGAGATTTAAGACTTTATGGACTAGACATTTACTATATCTAATTGAAAAAGTAGAAAGAGTATTTAGAAGGTATATAAAGTTAAATTTAAAAATTCAAATTTTATACTAGAAATCTGAGCCATAATAATAATGTTGATGATATCTATAAAGTCAGAGAGACCTTGGGGTTTTAAGAGAACTGAGCCAACAGGCTTCCTGTCAATATTCATTTTACTACTCAAATATACTACACAAGTAGCAAAACTAGGAGCATACAGATAAATAAGCAACTTCAAGGAATGTATATTATGGTAGAAGAGACTTGTAAATAATTACCTATGACAAGCAAAATTAAGTAAGATTGTTACAGAAATACTTCAAACTAAAAGACAATTTTTAAAAAGATTTTACAGATAAGTAAAGATGATAATTAGGCTGGACATCTTCCAGATGTCCTTCCTGACCAAGCCAGGGCCCAAGGGAAGCCAGCCCAGGCCCTGGGTACCTGCCAGTGGCTGGAGGATAGAAGCCCAGGTCCCAGGTGCCAGAGAGAAGCTGGTGCCAGCAGCTGGGGGAAGGAAGGCCTACTCCTGCTTGAATTTTTGTGCATCTGGCCTCTAGTATGTAATAATCCATGCCTACTATATACTACACACTATCCTAAGTACTAGGAAAACAGCAGTGAACAGACAAAATTTCCAATGAAAATTACACTGTAAGGGAAGGACAAACAAAACTTTACAGCTTGTCAGAGAAGTGCTTCTATGAAGAAAATTTAAGAAAGTAGCTAAGGAATGTGAATGGGAAAACAGAGGTAACGTGTTGTCAAGACAGGCTTACTGGGTGACCTTCCAACCAAAAATGGAAGGAGGGTGCGAACTGAGCTCCCCATCCTTATCCCCAATAGTTAGACATCTGGGGGAAAGGGGGGAGGTATCCCAGGCAAAAGGAACAACACATGCAAAAGCCCTGAGGCAGATGTGTGCCTGCGATGTTTGAGGAACAGCACCAAGGCCAGTGTGACTGGGTTGAAGGTAACAAGGGAGAGAGGGATGGGAAATGCAACAGATGTAAAAGGAAGCAGGGAGCCTATTTTATAGGGCTTTGCAGGTCACACTGCCACCCTGATGGGAACCAAAGGGGACCTTGAGCAGAGGAATGACCCTTTGACCTGCATGTGAACAGGATTACTGAAGCTACAATACTGAGAAGAGATTTGAAGAGAGAGGGCAGGACAGAAAAACCTGTGAGGAAGCTATTACAGCGATGCAGATGGAAGATGGTGTGGTTTGGACCAGGATAACAGAAGCAAGATTTATGAAAACTGGCCAAAACCGGTTTGGCTCAGTGGTAGAGCGTCGGTCTGCGGTTCGATTCCGGTCAAGGGCATGTACGTTGATTGTGGGCACATCCCCGGTAGGGGGTGTGCAGGAGGCAGCTGGTAGATGTTTCTCTCTCATCGACGTTTCTAGCTCTCTATCTCTCTCCCTTTCTCTCTGTAAAAAATCAATAAAATATATTATAAAAAAAAGATTTATGAAAACTGGTCAGTTCCTAAATTTATTTTGAAGAACTAATCAGACTTGTTAATAAGCTAGATGTAAAATATAAGGAGAAAGATGATAAATTCTCCAGGGTTTCCTGGCAACTCCATCCTTCTAGTTCATCAAGCCATTAACTGACATAGCTAAGATAAAAGGGATATGGGTTTGGCGGGCAGAGTAAAATCCGGTGACAAATAGGCAACTGGACAAAGAAATCTCAAGTTCACAAAACTAATCTATTGGCAAATATAAAATTGGCAGTTGGCAGCATATCTCTCAAGAGAGAAATCAAAGTTAGTATTATAGAACAATAAGTGGTTATAAAGATGGTAAGAATTATTGCAATTCAAGTTTGTCTGGCTGGAGCTCTGAAATATAGCCTTGTCCTTGATATTGTTTAGAGAGCTATCCTGAGAACCACCATCCTTACCCCCAATATTTCCCCTAAATCAACAATCCTACCTTATCAGAACACGTTCTTTATGGACATTTACACAAAGAAAAAGTTTATCACTCTAAACGTTATTAAACATACTATGACTACTTACACAAACCCATGTTGAGATGCTGGATGTCCAGCTAAGTCCTCTCACCAGCTATAGCATATGAGCACATCATTGTCAGAGCTCACACGATTCAAATTCGTGCCTAAGCAAAGCCATAATCTACTACATCACAAAAATTCAAGCCAGTGAAGAAGAGTCAATGTGGCCAGGAAGACCACCTTGAATGCCAGAATCTATGACACACAACCAAAACCTTCATTGAGAAGGTAAAAGACAATAGATGTACAAGCTAGATCAAATAACTTTTAGATTAATTTTTCCCTTCTTAGCCAGGAGATGTGATCAAGTCAAAATGGTAAACATCAATGAAACATTTTTTGTCGTTTTTTTTTAATTTCCATATTGCAAAAAGTCTCCTCCTCTAAATTAATAAATCTTGAGATTACCAGGTATACCATGGACAAGTTAAACAACATTTTAAAAAGTTATAAATAATCTAATATATATATATAGTTAGGTTTAAAAAAAAAAAGCCAGATTTCACTGATTTTTTTTCTGGCCTATCAAATGTTTAGTCTCATGAAGTCTATCTACAGTTTTATTTGGAAAAAGAAACCAGCAATTCTGGCCAAAGTATCATAAAATCGCTTACCAATTGGTCTGGATTAAGTTGCTCTCCATTTTTCAGGCGATCCTTGTAATCTTCCAATTTGAGCTACAAAAGAGAAACTTACATCTTTTATAGTCTGATATAAAATTCTCAAAAAAAATAGACTTTGTTTCTTATGAAAACAGTTACTAAAGTAATCGATCAATCTGCAAAAGTATTATTTTACTACAAAGCACGCAGCAATTGAAAACATGAGTTCTAGTTAGGGGGGAAAATATCACACACAAATGAACATTTGTCTGGTATTACAAAAGTTAATAAAAGTTTTTCTCTTAATAGCCTCTCTACATATTTAGACTACAGAGACTTAACTAGTCAATCCCATGCCCTTAACCAAGTGGCGCTCAATCAGGGGCAATATGTCCCCCAGGCATATCTGGCAATGTCTAGACATACTTTTGGTTATCACAACTTGGGGAATGGCAGAAAGGTGGAGCATGCTACTGGCATTTTTGTGGGTAGACGCCAGAGATGTTGCTAAACATCCTACAATGCACAGGACAGCCCCACACAACAAAGAATTATCCAGCCTCAAAAGTCAGCAGTGCTGGCCCTAGCTGATTTGGCTCGATGGATGGAGCATTGGCCTGCGAACTGAAGGGTTCCAGGTTTGATTCCAGTCAGGGGCACATGCCCAGCTTGTGGGCTCAATTCCCAGTGTGGGGTATACAGGAGGCAGCAGATGAATAATTCTCTCTCATAATTGATGTTTCTATCTCTCTCTCCCTCCCCTTCCCCTCTGAAATCAATAAAAATATATATATATTTTTTTAAAGTCAATAGTGCTGAGGCTGAGAAACCCTGCTCGAACCTCATGCTTAAACCGTTAGTCACCTGTTGAGTTTTGTGGCATTTGTCAGATAAGAAAGTTCCTAATGGAAGTATAAAAATGTAAAATATTTCTTTTTTAGCATTTTGTTAGCCTCAAACTGAAGCTATTTTACATTAAATGATATTTAAGTAAACACACAACAAATAAATTGCACTCATTGTCCCCATAAAAATTACATGGTCCACGATGGTATTCGAAAAGCAACATTTAGACTCCTCCCATTTGGCTTGATAGTTTTAAAATGTTTTCTCAGCAGCTTGAAACAAAAGCTTTGGTAATGTCAGATAGTATTCAAAGAGGTGGTATCATGAAGTCAGAGAGGATAAGTTACCTACACACACAGTTCCTCCACCTGGGAGAAGAACTAACACGTCTCCATCAGTAGATCCTGCTTTGAGTAGGTCCTGCCTTGACTAGTTTCCAACAGTGGCAGGGAATTTGTGCTTGTGCTGACACAGGCACGGTCACCTTATCACACTGGGGATCAACTCGATGCATTCAAAAGACAACTGGCAAGAGCTAGGGGCTACAGAGAAGCTACTCATAACTAGCCCTTCTTCACTACGTTCCTGGGTATGTATGTATGTATATATATATATATATATATATATATATTTTTTTTTTTTTTTAATAAAAAACATTTTTAGAAGGAAAAGAAACAGAGTCAGACTCTTTTTAAAAGAAAAAAAAAATCTCTTCTCACTCCTCCATTACAAATAACTCTCCTAAGGTGTAAGTAGGTCTTGGCATAAAAATATTGATGCCAAGGTCAAAGAGCGAATGACTCACCTTATCATCACGAGCAAAGAGAATCGTGACACAACAAAGCAACTGTTCCACAGGCTACATGACTCAGGGAATGAGGAATGATGTGGAGATCTTTACATCAGCATCTATTGTAACGTGAGGCTGAGTATAACCTCAGAGCCCCTTTGCAAGGCTCTCTACAATGCTTTCACCTAACAATATTTTTTTAATATATTTTATTGATTTTTTACAGAGAGGAAGGAAGAGGGAGAGAGAGTTAGAAACATCGATGAGAGAGAAACATCGATCAGCTGCCTTCTGCACACCCCCCACTGGCGATGTGCCCGCAATGAAGGCACATGCCCTTGACCGGAATTGAACCTGGGACCCTTCAGTCCGTGTGCCGACGCTCTATCCACTGAGCCAAACCAGTTTCGGCTCACCTACCAATCTTAAAGGATCGCCTAGCAACACAAACATAAGTGCTGAAACATTTTCTGGCTCCACCATCGTTAAAGCTTCCAATGACTGCAGCATCTATACTGCACTATCCACTGCTACAGAAAGTCAGACAGGAAACGAGCTAAAAATAATAATAATAAGGCAATCTCTGAAAAGAAACATTACTACTCAAGGAGTTAATCTGACTTAAAGTAGCTAGCTCTTCCAATATTTCAACAGTAGCATGCATAATTTTACCATGAAGAATATTTGTATTCAGTCATGCTGACAAATCAAACACAACATGTTTAATATATCCATTATTTAGTCTGCTTGTATGTTTTCAGCCAGCTACATCCCAAGGTTAAACCTCTGGGAAGGAATCTATGAGCCCCATTAAAAGCCAAAATGTCAGTTCCTTAACCCTTACCTGAAATGGTGCATATGCCTGGTTAGGGGGAAGAAAGAAAGATAAAAATTTTAAAAATTACCTTCTTTTTCTCGATGTTTCTAATTTTGTGTTTAAGGCATATGAGTCCATTATCAATGTAGGTCTCATAGGCTTGAGAAGGAGAGGCCACGGACCGGAGAGGAGACTGCAAGGGGCTCAGAGCGCGCTGGCTGTCCCCAAGGCTGTGGTTCGCTTGGGGCTTGGCTGACTTCATAGTCTCCTCCCTTCCCTCCTCCGAGTGGCCCGAAGGTGACTGGTAACCAAAAGGCGAGGAAGAGAACTGCACCATTGAAACAGCTGGTCCTGGAGGAGGGAAGGGGGAAAAGTTAAGTATCGCAGTAAATCAGGACTAGAAGGGTACATACGGACCTTCCTTTCCCGGAGACATCTAGACCCGCCCCCTCCAAATTCTCCTCCGCAGAAGCGCGCTCAACGCCCAGAGCTGCTTCAGAGGCCGCGCCTCCGTCTTCCTGCGCGGAAGGCAATCAGTGCCAAGGACTGGCACCTTTTTACCAGCAAAATCAACAGCGCGGGGGACGTTTCAAGAAACTCAGTTCTCCACACACGAGGAAGAACTGCTGCTCAAGCAGAGCTCCTCTTTTCATGACAGCAATCTGCATGCTGAAGACTTTCCAATGGCACAAAGCAACTAGGCTTTTCCCTGCTCACCTTATCCTCACCACCAGCCTGGAGCCCAATCACTGACAACGTTAAAAAAGAAAACACACACACACACACACACACTAAAATAAAATAAATAAAATTAAAATAAAATAATAAAATAAAATAAAACAGAACACACAATTTCTTTAGAGCTCTCACTCCCTCACTGAAAAGTGACTTCTGGAAGCAGGCTAACTACCCTTTGCTTGCTCTGGGGCCAGCAAGGCAAGTCCGCCGCCGCACATCTGTAGGAAGTCCTGACTCTCGGGCTAGGAGTGCCCTAAGTTGGTTTTCTGTTTTGTTGAAACTAACCCATCACTACACCAATCCCCGCTTTCCGGGGCCATCCTGGGGAGCCTGCCACGGCCCGGTCCGTGGCCTTCGCACACGCCTCATCCCGCGCTTCGGAGGTGTCCCTCCACCCCCACGCCCAGCAGCATCCCCGAACTGAGGGCATCACCAGCCGCGTGCATGTCAGCGCCACCCCAAACCCCCGCGGGGCCCGCGTGAGACGCGCCTCCGCCCGCCGCCACCGGGCGCCCGGGGACACCGACCCCCGCCATCCCCCCAGCTCTCGGGACGCCCGGGCGCCAGCCCGGGCCACTGCCGCAGGCGCCCCACAAGGGGAGCGCCCGGAGAAAAACCCAGGACCACCGCCGAGAGGGTCCCCCCACCCGCCCGGACCTCCCCGACCGGAGCGCCCAGCCCTGCCCACCCGCCCGGCCAGCGCCCCCTCGGGCCGCCGCAGCCCGGCTTCACCTCCGCAGGCCGCTGCGGTGCCGCAGCCCGGGCCGGCTTCGCAGACGGGCGGGAGCCAGGAGCGCTCTGTAGGTGGCCCGGCGCCACCCGCCCGGCTTCTCCCACCGGCTCCCTCCCCTCGGCTCCGGGGCAGCGGCGGCGTGTGCGGCGCCGGGCGCTCCCGACTCCGCGTTCCTCCCGGGCCGGCGCGCCGGGCCCCGCGGGGCTTATGTAGGCGCGTCCCCCTCCTCCCCCCACGCGCCCGCGCGCTGCCCGTGCGCTCCAGGGCCTCCTCCTCTCCTCCTCTCCTCCTCCTCTCCTACTCTCCTCCTCCTCCTCCTCCTCCAGCGCCTCCGCCGCGGCCGCAGCCGCAGCCTGGGGGAGCGGGGGTGAGGGTGAGGGAGTGGGAGGCGGTGGTTCCAGGTCCATCCCCGGCGGGGCCGCGATCGCGAGAGGGCGCGGTCTCCCCGCGTTTGCGCAGGTTTCGGGGCGCGAGGCAGAGCCGGCAGGCAGCCAAGAGCCGGCCCGCCGTAGACCCCTCAGGGTCCTGTGGGGCCCCGCTGACTGCAAGCAGGAATCATTGCAGGTGCTGACCTTGAACAGGTGATTTCGATCACTCGATCGCTCAGGCCGCAGGCCCTTGGAGGAATTGCCCGTTAAACCGAGCTGGAGCCTCTGGCGGTGTAGGTGGGCACTCTTGAAACACAAGGGTGCCTTTGCCCCCGCCTCTGACCCCACTCCAACCCCGGCTCCCGTCAGTCCATCCTTGACAGTAGGGTGGGGGAAAGCCACGTGTCCCAAGAAAAGACTGCCTGGAAGAACAGAAGGCCGCAATGCTGCCATAAACACGGAGTGGGAGGCGGTTTTATTTGCTGCTTTGAAACAGAGGAATTGGCACTTAAAAGAAAAAAAAACTGATAAAAATCTGTTAAGGTTGCATAAAATTAAGAGAAAGCGTGGAAATACATCAGTGTTTCTGAAGGAAGGGATGGTGTTTTTCATAACTAATGAATAAGAGGGGGAGGGAGGAAGCACTACTTGGGCCCCAGCAATACTTGGGCCCCAGTATGTGTCCAGCTATTACATTAAAGAGAATTGTTTTGGTTCTGTCCCTGAGGCTGATAAAAATGATTTAGACTAGCAAGAGAAGAACAGAGAAAACTCAGAACTATAATCAAGGAAACAAAGGTCTAAGTTTCAAAAGTGCTGGCCGAACCCACACAAAAATCATCATGACTTTTAACATTTCTTGATACGGTATTTTTCCAGTTATCATCTATGTTCTGTTCAGCCCCTAGTGATATAATGTACCTTAATGTTGCACTTTTGCTTTGAATCTCTGAATCCCATATGTGTCCTTGAAGGCCAGGCAAATATTAGATTGTTGATTTGTTTCATTGTTTATAACCAGAGAAAGAAGTGCAGATAATGAGAAGGAGGGCAGGAAAATCAAAACAGTGGGCATAGCTTAAAAACAATTTTAAATGTGAAGGACAACTTTCTCATCAATGAGTAAGCACAAAGTCACAGCACAGGTTAAACCTATACCTGATTTAATGACTCTAAAGCAGTGGTCGAGCTACCTGTGGCTCTTTGGCCCCTTAGGTGTACCTCAATCAGATTGAGGACGTTTTTAGCAAAGGCCAGCTTAGGGGTACCCTAATTAAGTTAATAACAATGTACTTACCTATACAATTTAAGTTTAAAAAATTTGGCTCTCAAAAGAAATTTCAATCGTTGTACTGTTGATATTTGGCTCTGTTGACTAATGAGTTGACATACTCTCTAAAGAATGTATTTCAGTCATATTAATCTGAAATGTTTGCCTTCTCATTGACCCAGAAAAATTATATCTTGGTTCATATGGATCTAGCCATAGACCCTAATAATTCCACTACATAGAATAATTCTGAATAAATCTATACAGATTTATTTCCAAACATGGATTCAGAAAAGGAATCACGAAAGACCAGCTTGTGTGGCTCAGTGATTGAGTGTCCACCCTTGAACCAAGAGGAGCCCCAAAAGATGGATGGATGTTCTGATCAGGGCATATACTCTGGTTATGAGATAGATCCCCACTAGTGGGCGTGCAGGAGGCAGCCAAACAATGTTTCTCTCTCACTGACATTTCTATCTCTTCTCTCTCCCTTCCTCTCTCTCTAAAAAAATCAATAAAAGCATATTTAAAAAAAAAAAGAATGCAAAATTAAAAAATAATTAAATTTCAAGCTCAATAAGGTGCAGTCTGTTTAAGCATAGCATAACATTTGTAGGAGATTGTGTCTCAGTAGATCATGTTGCTCTCCTTCCCCCTTGTAGCCATCCCGCAAAACTGAGGAAATCAAGGACTTTCTGCTCGTAGCCAAGCGAAAGGATGCCAAGTCTGTTGACATTAAGAAAAATAAGAGTATTGTGAAGTTTAAAGCTGAATGCAGCAGATACTTTTATAACTTGGTCATTTCAGATAAGGAGAAGGCTAAGGAACTGACGCATCTTCCCCCCACAGGCAGTGAAGGAGTTGAGATAGGCCAGGCATGTTGCTTTGCACTGAATTAAACACACACACACACACACACACACACACACACACACCTTTTTTAAAAAGTTGACAATATCCTCTTTTTTCTTAAAAATAATTACTACTCATTTAATTTTAAAAGTACTTTTCATGTTGCTTATGTAGACCAAAATTTTCTTTCTAAGAATCTGATAAAGTTAAAAGTAGCAATTATTGCCCAGCCAGTGTGGCTCAGGAGTTAAGCATCAACCTATGAACCAGGAGGTCATGGTTCAATCCCTGGTCAGGGCATATGCTAGAGCCATGAGCTTAATCCCCAGTGTGGGGTGTGCAGGAGGCAGAAGATCAATGGAACTCTCATCATTGATGTCTCTCTCTCCCTCTCTCTCTCTCTCTCTCTCTCTCTCTCTCTCTCCCCTTTCCCTCTCCCTTCCTTTCTGAAATCAGAAAAATAAAAAATAAAAGTAGCAATTATTCAAATAAACTTATTGACCCACTAAAACTCAATAACAAGGTGATATCTGCCCTGCTATAAAATACAATAAAATAGCAAGCGAAACAGTAGCACTATGTACTTATTTCATGTACTAAATTACTTAATGCTCGTGACAACTATGTATTAGTTACTATTATTATCCCCATTTTATAGGGGAAAAAATTGAGTCTCAGGGGTTAAATAATATTCCTATAGTCATATAGCTATTATATGATCCCTAATGGTTTTGTTCTTTTTGTTTGTTTTGTTTTGTTTTTTAATATTTTTATTGATTTTTTACAGAGAAGAAGAAGGGAGAGGGGTAGAGAGCTAGAAACATAGATCAGCTGCCTCCTGCACAACCTGTACTGGGGATGTGCCCGCAACCAAGGTACATGCCCTTGACCAGAATCGAACCCGGGACCCCTCAGTCCACAGGCTGACACTCTATCCACCGAGCCAAACAGGCTTTGGCAGATTGTTGTTTTTGGGGTTGTTGTTTTGTTTTGTTTTGTTTTGTAAACATGGCTTTTAAAAAACATCTCATTCTTTCTTTGTAAATGCAACAGCTTTTTATCACTTTGAGGCCAAGAGTTACAGGTCTTCATTTTTCTGATTCCTCTGTCTCAGTTTCCTTCAAAGCCTTCTATCTAGGTATCTTCTTTCTATGCCAAAGACTTTCCCCAAATGTCTGGCAAATCTTGCTTATTCATTTACATTTAAGAGTGAGGCACTAAAACCTAGCAAGAAGCTCTGTGTGTAGACTTGATCGCAGAATGATTGGGCAAGGCCCAGGCATTCATTCCCTGGGAGGCGCCTCCCACATCTCCAGGTCTGTTTTCCTGGGGTGGTCCTTGCCCCTGCCCCTGCCCCGCCCCCCCACCCCCCCCCGGAGAGATCTGCCTCGGGTTCCTTGCCTTGGTGGGTGGCAACCCGGTTGCCCGTATTCTGGGAGCCCCGTGAGGGAAAGCGCCTCAGGATCTCACTTGGCGAAATATCGACTTCCACTTAATCCCCCACTTTCTGCAGAGCTCCCTGCCTTCTCCCCGCCCCGGACCTCGGAGTCCCTCAACTCAACACCCTCCCGTGTTCCTCTGGGGTGGGTTCTTGCTGAAAGCGATACAGGGCCCAACTTCTTCACTTACAGGATTTCAACCCATCTTTCCGGTGCGGGTACGCCTTTAGCAATTCCTGAGACCGCCCAGGGCTCTAACGCAGGCTTCACTTCTTGGCTTCCCTCAGCGAGCAGCACGGTTTCAGCTTTCCCCGGTCTGCTCCATCCCTTAGCAACTGCCCATCTGCTACGTGGCTTCCAAACTTTGATTGACATCTCTCCACGCTCTCGTACTCCTTACTATTGTCTGCCCTCCTGTTCTCTTCTTCCTCAGAGCTTCATATTTAATCCCCGAATAAGACTCTGGGTGGAGACTCAAGAAAAAGCCCAGCTCAATGCAAGTATCCAGCCTGCCGGATGGAGTGAGAAGCCTGGGCTTCGGCCTCGCTGCTGAGCTGCCTCTGAGCGCAAGCCTGCATGCCTGTCCTCCACAAATCATACATTATGATTTTCCCACGCCCCTAGGAAAAGAAAAGTGAATTAAAAGGTTCCCACGCGCCTCAGAAAAGATGAAGTGTTCTGTAGTTATGGCAACAAGGAACCACCCCAACCAGTTCTAAACTGGTTTGGTGGAACAATGATAGCTTGCCCAAGGGAACATACTTCTGAAAGTCAGCGGGGGAAACAGCCAGCCAATGCACATCCTTCTAAACAACCCGGTTTCCACAGCTGACCTCAACCCACTACTGCCTCTGAGCGTCCACCATCCGCCCCCTCAGCCCCGCACTTCCCAAGCCCTAATGAACCAGCTCCTCGCTCTCCTGGGGGAGACTATGCTCCGGCTAAGTATTAAACTCAGCTGTTTGTGCAAGTATTGCGTGCTGGTCTCTTCCTTTGTTTTTTTTTGTTTTTGTTTTTGTTTTTGTTTTGTTTTGTTTTGTTTTAAAATATATTTTATTGATTTTGTACAGAGAGGAAGGGAGAGAGATAGCGAGTTAGAAACATCGATGAGAGAGAGTCATCGATCAGCTGCCTCTTGCATACCCCCTACTGGAGATGTGCCCACAACCAAGGTACATGCCCTTGACCGGAATCGAACCCAGGACCCTTCAGTCCCCAAGCCGACGCTCTATCCATTGAGCCAAACCGGTTTCGGCTAGTCTCTTCCTTTGACAGA